AATCCCCCACATGCCAGTTCACAACCATCTGTAGCTCCAGTTCCAGGGGATCTGACACCACCTTCTGGCCTCCAAGGGTACTGCAAGCATGTGGTACACATACATACATGCAGGCAAAACACCCACACACATAAAAGTTTTTAAATGAGGGAAAAAGAGATGTATTTTTAGAGAGTATAAAACTTATGTCGATAGAAATGAGGGACCAAAAAATGTGCCACTACAAAAAACAACCACTGACCCCCACAGAAAGGCAGCAATGAAAGAGACAAGACATGAAGAGGCGCGAGAAATAACAGATGATGACGAACCACAGCATAAAGTCTTTCTTTCTGTTAGCAATTACTTTAAATGTCAATGGGTTAAACCCCTCAGTCAAAAGACAGACTAACAGAATGCTTTAGAAACAAAAACCAACAACCAGGATCCAAATGTGTTCTGTCTAAAAGAAAATCATGTTAGATCCAAGGATGCTCAGGCTGAAATAAGAGGATTCTATTTAGATGGTAAAGCAGTGTGGGGAGAGGGTGCGGAGGGGGAAGGGTACGCCAAGACTAGCAAGAATCAAACATAACATCAGAGCAGTTAACCAGAAGATACTGCTACAAACTCACACTAAATACCATTAATGCTTGCGTAACCATCAGAAGCAAACACGGCAGAGAGAAAGAGAAACAGTTCTGCCACACAAGCTGGAAACCTGTCTTCAGCAGATACAGCAAGGAAAGGAGGTAGAAGGATAGAAGGCCTGCACACTGTATAGGCCAAGTGGGCCTAACACAGAACACTGGCTTTACATAGAAGCAGCACCATGCATTATGTACATACATAATACACACATACATACATGCATGGGCTGGTGAGGTGGTTCGGCACTTCCTGCCAAGTCTGATAACTTGAGTTCCATTCTCAGGCCCCACGTGGTGGAAGGAGGGCCACCTACCTCCTGAAAGCTGTCTTCTGACTTCCATGTGAGCTGCATCCCACCCCACACACACGCTCAAGCCCACCATGTCTCCCAATCATAAGTGGGAAAAGTCTAGAAACCAGCCATAGAAGAAAAACTGAGAAACTCCCAAGTGAAAACTACACGCCAAATGATTAACAGTTTAAATGTGAGAAAATAGAACATGTTTAAATGAATAAAAAGTACAAGAGACCCAGTTTACATACACACAAACATACCATCACTTGACTGCTATTTGCCAAACTCTTAAAAAAAGTCATGGGGAAATGATGTTGGGAAATAATACACACGTGTAAAAGAACTAAGCTGCACACTTACCTTAGGCCAGATACATGTGTTTTAGCTCAAAATGGGCCAAAAATATAAAACACATCAAAATTCTCAGAATGTGGAGGCTGAGGCAGAAGAATTGCTTCAAGTTTAAGGTCAGCTTGCGTGGACACACAGTAAGTTCCAGGCCAGCCTGAGCTAGAGCAAAACCCTGTCTTTTTTTTTTTTTTAATTAAAAATAAATGCTGGGGCTGGAGAGATGGCTCAGTGGTTAAGAGCACTGACTGTTTTTCCAGAGGTCCTGAGTTCAATTCCCAGAAACCACAAGGTGACTCACAACCACCTTAAATGAGATCTGGTGCCCTCTACTGGCATGCGTGCAGGAGACTGTATAGGCTGTATACATAATAAATAAAATCTTAAAAAAAAAATGCTGGGGGTTGGTGGTGGTGCACACCTTTAACCCCAGTACTCAGGAGGCAGAGGCAGGTGGATCTCTGTGAGTTCAAGGCCAGCCTGGTCTATAGAATGAGTTTCAGGACAGCCAGGGCTACACAGAGAAACCTTGTTTCAAAACAAAACAAAATAACCAAAAAAAAAAAAAAAAAAAAAAAAAAAAAAAAAAAAAAAAACCAACCCCAAGACAAATAATATTCCTTTTTTTTTTTTTTTTTTGGTTTTTCGAGACAGGGTTTTTCTGTGGTTTTGGAGGCTGTCCTGGTAGACCAGGCTGGTCTGGAACTCAGAGAGATCCACCTGCCTCTGCCTCCCAAGTGCTGGGATTAGTGTACCACCACCGCCCGGCATAATACAGTATTTTTAAGTAATATAAAATTAGGCATACAAAATCATGTACAATGTAAGCATTAGAATAACAAAATAAGTTGTATCATTTGAAAGAGAAAACATAGGTTATCATAAAACAGAACAACTATGTATTAGATCAGCAAAAATGCTGGAATTCCACTTAAGCTGTAACAGGAAATGATAGGTTGCCTGTCATGATGCTTTCTGAGGACAGAGCATAGATTAATGTTCTGAACTTACATTATCTGACACCAAAAATTTGTTCTTACTTAATATATTACAGTGGGTCTCAGTTCAGAGATATACATTTAGGCTATTATGGCAAAACCCTGTCTTAATATCAATCACACCAGGATTGGAGTAGAGCACTTTCCCAGTATGCAGAACACCCTGGGTCTGATTCCTAGAGCATCACGAACAGGCATGGGGACGTATGCATTTGGACAGTGATGCATTGATGTGGGATGCATTGATGTATGCTGCAAATATGTGTTGCTTTTATTGGTTGATAAATAAAGCTGCTTTGGCCAATGGCAAGGCAGGACATAGCTAGGTGGAAAGTCCAAGCAGAAACACAGGGAGAAAGAAGGCAGAGTTGAGAGAGATGCCAGCAGCCACCTACCGGTAAGTCATGGGCCACGTGGTGATACGCAGATTAATAGGAATGGGTTAATTTAAATGTAAGAGCTAGCCAGTAATAAACCTGAACCATTGGCCAAAAAATTACAGTTAATATTAAGCCTCAGACTGATTATTTTATAAGCGGCTACAAACCGGGCAGGGCAACAGAAAAGCTTCCAGCTACAATACATGCATTTGGTCCCAGCACTAGGAAGGTGGAGGTGGATGATCAGAATTTAAGATCATCCTCAGCTATGTAGCAAAACTGAGACCAGCCTGGGCTATATGAGACCCTGTCTTTAAAAAGAAAAGAACTCTTGCCAGGCACTGGTGGCACGTGCCTTTAATCCCAGCACTCAGGAGGCAGAGGCAGGTGGATCTCTGTGAGTTCAAGGCCAGCATGGTCTACAGAATGAGTTACAGGATAGCTAGGGTTGTTACAGAGAGAAACCCTATCTTGAAAACAGAACGAACACTCTTAAAACACACACACTCACACTCTCCCTCTCTCTCTCACACACACACACACAACCCAGGGCTGTTAGAGAGAAATCCTGTCTCAAATACAAAACAGAAAGAAAAAAACTCTTAAATACACACACACACACACACACACACAATTTTAACTTACCTCAAAATGGTGGTCCTCTATAAATGTGACCTCTATAAATGAATGTCTGCCTTTCAACAGGCAGCCTTGAGCACAACTCCACACTTCACTACCACACTGGGCTGAGAACATCTTGACGCGTGTCACCGTGGTCTCCTGTTGTGTGCCCTGTCTTTCCTGGTCTGGAACACAGATACTGGGTCTTCACTGGGAAGGCCCCTTCGGATCCTGGCCATGACTGTAAGGTTGGTTGTTACCAACAGGGGGCAGAGGCAATTCCAAAGGGATGGCATGGGTGAGCCTGGCAAGGACCCTTAGCCTCTCCCTCACCAGCAGCACTGATTCTAGACTGGTTTTGGCAGGGTGAGAATAAGGGCTGCTTCCTACGCAAGCCTGGTGCAACATGATGACCTTAATGCCACCATATGCCATCAACTCCTGCTATTCCAGCATCTAAGATACTTTCTCACCAAAGGAGCAGTTCTCCGAGAACTGAGAAACACAGCTAGCCATAAAGAACCAGCAGGAATGTCAGTCAGATGGATACCATGCCGCCCTCTGCTTCCATCAGTCTGTAATCCAGGGTGCGGCTCAGTGGGATGGGGTTCAGCTGGTTCAAGTACACTCCCACTTGTTCTAGGATTGGCTCTGGGACCTTGGAAGGGCTCCTTGCCCTCTCTGCACAGGCAAATCCTTTCCTGTAATGTGTAGAGCCATCCCTCTCTTCCACTGAGGGCCCATATAGCCCAAGGACTGGGGATTGGTAAGGATACTGGGTCAGCCAGTCACAGAGGAGCTTGTAGCCAGGTCACGTTCCTGCCATATGCTGGGGTGTACAGCTACCAGGCTTTGTTCCTCAGTCTTGACTTCTCAGACTAGGATAAGCTTAGCTTCAAGAGATGGTCTCTGCAGGCTGGGGACATAGGGAGGCAGATGAGAGGGTCCAAGGCCAAGAGGGGATTGTGTTGATCCATCCCTGTGTGTTATAAGAAGCTGTGCAGAGTCCTTGTAGAAAGTTGGCACTTGCCAATGGCAAACTCCTTTGGCCTCAGAGCCTATGTTTAAGTAGGAACCACACATCCTATGTCATGCTGACATCATAGCTGAATGCTTAGGGCTGTCAAATGTCCACCGGTACCTTGGTTCATATTGCTTTCCCATAATGGAGGAGCTGGCCGGGTTGAGACTGGATAGATACTGCAAGCCAGCCGAACATCCAACAGGTCCACAGAGATGATTACAGACAGTAGTATGAATGGAGATGGACAGTCCTGGCACACTGCCAGTCAGGACTGACATTCCTGTCACCTGGCTTTACACAGGCTGGTTTGCTTTGACCCTCGCAAGACCTCACCCCTCTGTGACCACGCGACACTGTGTCTGCACAGGCAGCACGCACCATCATCTAGAAGCCACACGCCACTCTATCCAGATGACACACAGAAACATGCTAACACAACAAATACTTTTATAAAATATTTATTCTAAAAAAAAAATCACACTGTACAAATTTAGCTAGAACCTTCTCAATGTTCAGATTTATAAAAGTGTCAACGTAACGGGGACTAAAAGGGACAAACTTTCACCGCTTTCTTTTGAAGTTAGGAAGGAAAATCACACTGTACAAATTTAGCTAGAACCTTCTCAATGTTCAGATTTATAAAAGTGTCAACGTAACGGGGACTAAAAGGGACAAACTTTCACCGCTTTCTTTTGAAGTTAGGAAGGAAAAACAATATTTTTTTTTTTTTTTTTTTTTTTTTTTTTTTTTTTTTTCCTGGTACAATGATAGTAAATTTCTAAAAGACATCCAACAAGCCAGCAGTAAAAAGTGCAAGGTTGGTCTGCCGGCTCCACAGTTCCGTTTCTGCACAGCTGAATCCGGAATCCATGAGACTAAGCACAGCTTTCCCAGTGGGCAATGCGGGCTCACTGAGCCATGTCAGAGACTTAGCAAGATCCCCAAAGCCAGTTAAGGACAGAGAGGAGAAAGCCTGTCTGTCTGCTCCTGATTCTTGTTTCTCTAACACTGGATTTCCTGGACCCTGTTTGAAGGCCTGTGCACAGCACGCAGCTGCCGAGTGAGGTGTAGTTTCTGGAAGTTAAGGGAGGCAGGGACTTTCTCAATCTGCACGTCACACTGAGGCAGGAGTACCACGGAGAGGAAACCCTTAAATTAAAAAGCATCTCGGAAGCTGCTCAGTTTGGCTCTGCCATCTCTAATGGCAGCAGCCTTGTGTGTAGGGGGGCTCCCTCCGGGACAAATCTCACGCTCTTTCACACACAAACTACTGGGAAAGTAACTAAATAAAGTGGGTAACAAGGCAGAGCGAGGTCTCCACAGCCATGGGCTCAGAGGCTGAGAGGCACATTTCACATTCCGGGTGGGGTGACAGCTGAGGTCACAGCCATGGGTGCCAGGCAGGGTCCATGCGACATAGGTTGTCCAAGCTATTGGCGGCAGCCACCAGGGTGTTCACCTTGCTCTCTCCACCATCGAACTGGGCCAAGTTGTGCAGGCGGGTCATGATGGCAGTGACAGCTTTCTGAACCAAGGAGACCAGTTGCTGGCTGTCCATGTTCTCAGGCTGCCCGGCGGCCGACAATGGAGAGGAAGTGTCCTCCTGGGTCTTTTTGTGCCAAGCAATGATCTCGTCCCGGAGCACAGTTTTCAGAATGCCATCCACCTGTGCAAAGGAGAGGGGGAAATGGCATGTGTCCCACCAGAGGTGACTGGAGCAGCTTTATAGTGTGGGCCCATCTAACAAGAGTGGCCAGGGCCAGACTGCTACCCAGGGACTGAACAAAGCACTTCTTCTCTGACATAATGCTGGGATAATTGGCTGAGAATCCACTGAAATGTAGCCGGTGTCCCAGGCACAGGGAGGACACCCAGAAATGGCAGGCTGGAATGTTGTGACCTGCCACTAAGCTCAGAGCAGACAGCCCTGCATTTGCCAGGGTGCTGAGGGCATCTTGGTGAGGCGGGCAAGTAAAGGATAAAAAAATTCAGTCCTGGCTTGGCTTGAGCTACATACACACACTTCTGCGAACAAGGCCACTGAGCCATTGACCTATAGCTCCCCAGCAACACTCAGCAACTCCCATTTTGTGACAAACACATCCTGAAACATATTTGTGAAGTTTGAGACACTAGGCTGGTCTGCCCTGGACTGGGTTTTAAGAGCATACATGATAAGACAAACTGTCCTGTGAATTAACTCCTAGGTGGAAAAATACCCGATTTACCATCTTATATTTGTGAGTAGCTGGGCATTAATGAGCAGTCAACTGAGGCTTACATACTCAGGCCTGTCAATCAAAACAAAAACCCACCTATACTTCACAGCCCTAGGAAACAACTCTTCCTCCTCTTTCTGCTCTAGTATCTGCCCCACATATGCACTTTATCTTTGAATACTCCCTGCTATTTGCCTGGTTGTCAATTATTTATTTTTAAACATTTTAGATTTTTATCTTATGCATTTGAATGTTTTGCCTGCAGTATTTACTAAGTGTACATGTGTGCCTAGTGCCTATATCAGTTGGTAGAGTTACAGATGGTTGTGAGCCACCATGTGGGTGTTGGAAATTGAACTGGGGTCCCCTGCAAAAGCAATGAGTGCTCTTAACCAACTGAGCCAACTCTCTTGCCCCATCACCAGACGTTTAACAAAAAGCCTCAAAACACCTTGTCTATAGTAGCAACTGTTGGCACTACTAGTCACCTTTCGTATCTCTAGGTGTTTGTGTCTGCTTGGGCCTCATTTCAGCCCTGCAAAATGGAGGCAGCAGGCCAGGAAGTGTGTAAGACAAGAGCTGGAGGCTGCTACAGAGAACTAATAAACTGTGGTCCAACTGAGGACTCTGGATTCCTTTTGGCAAAGCAGCCTCCCTTTCACTCTGCACATCTTTAGACAATGGACACTCCAAACCTCCTCCAAATACTCCATTCTAACATCCCCCTCCTTGTTCGCAGGCATCAAGCACCACTGAGAGCCCAGGTGGAATTAAGGAATTGGTCCATGCTTCTCACAGAAGATGCTGAGACCCACCTTGAAGTTGGGCTGGGCAAAGCACCGGGCGACAGCAATCATGGAGGCAGTCAGCGGGCCGGAAACACCAATGGTGGTCAGGAACTCAGAAATGTTGGGTGTGAGACGGAAAGGGACTGGACGGTTGGCATCTAAGTCCCCAGTTGCATCGTTTATGTCAAATCGAAAGTAAGCGACATTCAGCTTGCCTGTGTCCTGTATTTTAGAGGGAAACATTTTTAAGCTCCACACCAGCAGGACAGAGGAGTCAAAGCAGGGTTAGGTGGTGACAGGAATGTTACCTGAGCAATCTGTAACATCTCAGGGTTGAGTCTATTGAGATGCAGGACGAATTCTGCAAAGCCAATGAGTGCCAGCTGGATGGTGAACATCTTCCGGAAGGTCCAGTAGTCTGTAGCATTGGGGAAGGTGTGCAGGGCCCACTCTTTCAACATGCTGCGGGGGACCATGTTGCTCTGGACCTCTTTGAGAATGTCTCGGAGGACCTGGAACACATCACTCTATGATTCTTTGCCCATGTTTCCCAGCAGATGGAAAGCTCTTACATTGCAATTCCTGGCTTACTTATTCTCTGACTGAACACGGCAGACTTCGGTTTCCCCCTAAGCTTGATGTACCCACCACCAGTGCAACTGTCTGAATGGAAGCCACGGCTGCTCAGAGCTTGCCTCTCAAGTCAATACACAAAGCTACGTTCATTCACCTTTGCTGCCTCAGAATGCAACAGCCAGATAACAAAAGGGACAAACGATAGCTGGGTACCAGTATCTTCTTTAAATCATGTATAGAGAGAAGTGTCATAAGCCAAAGAGCTAATCAAACAGAGAGCAGACATTTGCATGAACTCAGTTCTGTGCTGCAAGACACCAAATCTCAGGTACTTAGAGACAGCTTTAGTGCAACTGGGAAAGGCCAAAACCAATTTGTCCAGGTCTCTAGAAACTTAAAGCTCCCAACAACAGTCAGATGGGCTCTCATCTAGGAACAACAGGCTGAGTCCCAGCAAGAACAGTGAAGCTGGTGGCAATTTCATGTGTCTTTCTGCCCGTCTCCTCCCCACCTCCACAGTGGCTGGGACGCTAACCCTCATCCCTAGAGCTGCCCCCACCTGACATGTCTGACCGACAAGGTCTGTCCCTGTTTCAATGAAGTTCACTCAGTGATACTCTGCTTACTAAAAGGACTGATGGTGACTTAACATGCAGGTGCCAGAGACCAGACCATCAAGCTGGAGTCTGCAAGAGCCTGGCCAAACACAAGAGCTGGTGCAGGAGATGGGGTGGGAAGGGCAGCAGCTTTGACAGCTTCAGAACATTCCAGGAACCTAGAAGGTCAAGTGTATTTAACTATACATGACCCTGAGGCTCTGCCCCATTAGAAGTGAGAGCAAAGGCACACTGTTGAATCATGCTAATGGCATGGTGGCGCAGACAGACAGACACTATCAAAACATGTGGGTTCAAACATCTAAGAAAATCTGTCAAATCAAGAGCTGGGGTGGTAGATTAGTGGTAGAGTGCTTGTCTAGCATATGTGAGGCCCTGGCTTAGTCCCCAGTACTGCCAAAACACATGCATGCACACAAACACACCTATCAAACTGAGTTGATTTCGATGGCCACATGTGACACAGGAACAGACTAAGTCCAGGAAAGTCACCGTGTCATATAAAAATGTCTAGAATACACTATAAAAAGATAAACCAGGGGCTGGAGAGATGGCTAAATAGCTGCTTTTGCAGAGGACCTGGGTTAGGTTTCCAGCACCCACGTGGCTGCTTGCAACCTTATGTAACTCCAGTTCCAGGGGATCCACCATCCTCTTTGACTTTCAAGGGCACCCAACATGCAGATGGTGCGCAGATATGTATTCAGGCAAAACACCCATACAAAAGACAGATTGTTTCAACTTAAAAATGGGCGGAGGACTTGAGTAGGTATCATGCAAGGAAAAAAGATAAATAGCCAATAACACAGAGAAGACATGTCACCGGGAAGCAACTACAGTGATACAGTACTAGTATTTCATGCCCTTTAGGGTGGCTTATGGTGGGGGAGGGAGGAGGAAATAAGCAATGTCAAGGATACAGAGGAATTAAGGCACACATTACAGGCACTCTAGAATATAGTCCACCAAAATGTTAACTATGTAACCTGACAATTCTGTATCTGGGTGTAGAGATGAATACATACTCAAAAGAAATGAACACATATTCACACAGACAAGTGTGCCAATGTCCACAGCAACTCTCAGTATAAGGTCAAAAATAAATCATCCAAAAGTGCACCAACTGATAAATGGACAAACTAAAAGTATTATGTTCATATAGTAGAACACAGTGAGGCAATGAAAAAGGAATCGAGTGTGGACACAGGCTAGCAGAGTGGATTAAATCATTGTCAAAGTCAGACACAAAAGTCCAATTCCATTCATGTCATGCCAACAACAGGCAACTCCAGAGACAGACAGAAAGACCCGTGGTCCACCAGGGTGGGGTTGGAGAGAGATGGGGAGTGGTGGCTGATGGCCATACAGCCGAGATTGGCTACAGACACTCAATGTCTTTGAGGGTGAGGATGGCTTTCACGGCATGTGAATTTCATCTCAGTACAAGTGTTATTAAAACCATGGGAATGGAACAGAGTTAACCCATTAGAGAGCATGCTGGGGAGCTGGGAGTCACCCAGTGTGGCCTGTGAGCTGTACCAACACCATTCCTCAGGTTACTAGTGAACACAAGCTTTAGCAGTGGCTTCCCCTGTCAGAGCAGAATGATGGCCTCTCTCATGAACACCTCACATCTGCCCTGGGGGGATGGGGTAGGGCACAGAATGACCAAGCCGTGACCTGTGTTATAAAATACCCAATTCCCTACTGAGGAGCTCTCCATTCCTTCCAGAAGCCTATGAGTAAGCAGGGACTCACTTTCTCTGCCTGAAGAGGCAGGGAGCTGCCTCGGACCCTGCCAGCCAGGACCACCTCGGGCTCTCCCTGCTCAGGAGGTGGAAAGGAAGCCCTGTGGGCTCTAGCCTCCTAAATAAAGCCCAATGTTGCAGGACCCAAAGAAACTACAGTGAGCCCTGGGCAACACAGGGCAGGTCATGGCTTCCACCCCGTGGCCTCTCCTGGTAATGCACAGAAGGACCCCGTGGCACCTGGGGAGGGGCCAAAACAGCTGCCTCTTGCCGCTCCACACAACCCTGGACAAAATCTTCCCAGCCAAGGGCAGGAATCTGCAAATAAGGAGAGGGCCCTCTGTCACCCTGGGAGCACAGGCTGTCTGGGACTCCTATGGCCCACTCGGTGCTCCTGCCCCAGGCAACCCAAACAGTTGGGTCCCAAAGGTTTTAGTCGGTCACGTTTTGTATTTTAGAAACCCCACAGGGTCTAGATGTGTGTTACCCAATGTCACTGGCTGCAAAGTGAGCATGCCATCCACTAGTGTTCAAAGTCTAATTTCTGAACTTTCTCTAAGTACAGGGCAGGGATAATGGAGTCTTCGAGGTCAAGAACCTCACCACAAACCCCCTGCAGCAGATGGTCACCAGCCATCTGACCTCTCCCATCTCCTGACAAATGAGGAATCCCTCATGGAACATTCCACTATAACCAAGCAGTGTGGACAGAGGCCTTGGGTAGTAGCTGGCCTCCTGCATGGTACCTGATGGCTGGCCTGTGTTCCCCGTGCCTGCACTGTGGCCAGCCTGTCATAGTAACGGGAGATGGGGTTGTCGTGTTCAATGCCTTTCTTGGCACAGCGCTGCTTGTAGATCTCCACGAGGGAAAGTGAAGAGGGGTTGTCTTCCACAAGGCGCATCTGTGGGGAGACAGCCACAACCCGAGGAACTGGGGAAGAAAGGAAGGCAGGGTGAGGGAGAGTGTGAGACCAGGTTAGCACTCAGTGTCCTCTTCCCGCCACCAGCCCAGGGTGCAGGTAACTGTACCAGAGAAAGCTGAAGAGCCCAGGTCACACACTTCAGTACTTCGCAGATGACATACAGCACCACCCATAGGGTTAAGTCCTCACTGGGTGCTCCAAACATCCTTTAGCAGGGACCCTACCCATGCTTACTCCTTAGAGGCCTTTCCTGGCTGGACACCACTCAGGCTCTAATGCACCTGTTTCATTTGTCTACCTGCAGCTAGAAGGGCTGCTTCCATGTCTGCACAGAAAAACAACTGACACTTCTCTGTAACCTGAGCTTCAGAGTTGGACTCCACTCAACAGAAATCCAACACTCTCTTTCCATGACTACTGTAGAGCTGAGTGGCTTCAGCAGTTTAAATTCTGGAATGGTTCTGGTATGATTCTGTCATGGCTAAACTCCTGAGCTCCAGTTGGGAGCAACCCAGCAGGTAGGCCCACCACCTGTCGCCTCGGTACCACAGCTGTCTCCCTATGATGCCAGCTGACAGAGTCACTGACTTATGGCACTTTCAGGTTCTTCATCCCTATGGGGCAGTTCACTGATTAAACAAGATAATAATTAGATGCTACATTTTAAGGAATGAAGTCAGTTGGAGTGAGCTGAGACTTCCTTGTGTTGCTCTATCTGGTTGTACCCTGTTCTGGCTGCTGAGCCCCAAGCATGGGGTAGTGCTGGTGGGCTGGACCACAGGTGCTTGTGTTTTCTGATTTGAGGAGATCATGGCTAAACCACAGCTGGTGGCTTGCTGCCTTGGCTTCCATCCAGGAGAAATTCCCATAATGATTCCAAGACACCAAGGTGGACTTGCTCACTAACCCAGTGATGGGAAGCAGCATAGACCACAACTCATACATGCTAGAGTGTACACAGCTTTCTGATAAGACAAACCAGATTTTTTTTTTTTTTTTTTTTAAATTCAGAATGCATAGCTTAGCGGGGCATAGTGGTGCATGTCTTTAATCCCAGCACCCGGGAGGCAGAGGCAGGTAGATCTCTTGAGTTCGTGGCCAGTCAGATATACATAGTAAGTTCCAGGACAGCCAAGGCTACATAGTGAGCCTCTATCTAAAACAAAAAAACAAACAAAAAAACCCAAAAATACACAACAAACACCTCCTCAAACCTAATGATTTTACCTATTTATTCATTTTTTAATTTTTAAAAGTTTACTTTGTATCTGTGTGTTTTGCCTGAATGTATATATATGCACCATGAGAATGCCTGGTGACCAGAGATCAGAAAAGAATTACAGATGGCTGTGAGTTGTCATGTGGATGCTGGGAAACAAACCCAGTCCTCTGAAGAGCAGCCAGCTGAGTGCTGAAGTATCTAAGTTCTTCTTTGTATTTTTAACTATATCTATACATTGCGTCTGTGTGTGGTCACCTCTGGAACCGGGGTGCAAGAACAGCACGTAGTTTCAGGCACTGAACCATTTTCTCCAGCCCCCAATTCTACAGATTTTAAGATATTAAAAGTTAAAGTTCAGGGCTGGAGAGATGGCTCAGAGGTTAAGAGCACTGACTGTTCTTCCAGAGGTCCTGAGTTCAATTCCAGCAACCACATGGTGGCTCACAACCACCTTGAATGAGATCTGGTACCCCCTTAGGCTAGGCTAAGTTGGACAAGATGGTGCCCATCTTTAATCCCAGCTCTTGGGAGGCAGAGGCAGGCAGATCTCTGAGTTCCGGGCCAGGCCAGAGAGACTGTCTCAAAAAACCAGAAAAGGTGGGGAGGAGCTGGTTACACCTTTGCTGTTAGAAGAATGGTCCATAAAGGATTAGGACCATAGGGCTCCGACTTCAGAGATCACACACCAGGATCCCAGCAGCCGGAACTACCAGGCAACATAGCCTGCTGCCCTTGGTGTGGCCCCGAGACAAGGCAACCCCACACAGTGCTACAGCCCTAAACAAGACTGTGCAGAGCTCGACACAGGAAGGAGAGCCCGAGTGTGAGCTCTCAGCCCATAGTGAGAGACCAGCTGAGGCAGGGCGTGCCTGCTGCTGCTCCTTACAGTTTCCCCTCAGAGGGTGGCCTCCTGAGCTGCCCTGTCAACATGGTGTGGCTCTCATACCTGTGAAGAACAAGTGTCTCTTGGTGGTCTCCTTTCTCTTCTCCAGGCAAGGGTTTAGCAGGCGGAGCAGCTGCAACACACGCTCCTCCCGCCGTGATTCGGTAAGGCAGGCATCATTCATGACCAGGTACGGGTAGATCTTGCCATTGTGTCCTCGGATGTAGAGCCTGCGGGCCGCCGTGTTATGCTTCTGGACAATTTCCACTCGGGGCATAAAGCTGCAGATGCAGACAGAGGAGAGCATGAGCCAGACCCTTTCTTGGGAAAACACAGTGTTAAGGACTGTCACAGACAAACAAGCAGGACGGTTTAGCAGACACAGAGATGTGACGGTAATCTTGGCTATATGGATGACTGACGGAGGGAGACAGGGAGGAGGGGGGTCTTGGAAGAAAGGGGAACAAGTCTGAGTGTCTGGAAAGGCAGAGCCAATTCAGAAATAAGGAATGAGTTGCATGTCATTTGCTGGAGGCAGCCTCGAGAAAGCACTGCTCATACCTCAAGTATGAGCACTCCAGTGAATTCTACAACTGCCAATAATGCTTTTACTTTTATTTACTTATTTTGGCTTTTTCCCAATTGCATTGTTTTTTTGGAGCAGGGTTTCTCTATGCAGCTCTGGCTATTCTGGAACTCACTCTGTAGACCAGGCTGGCCTCTAACTCGCAGAGATCCACCTGCCTCTGCCTCCCAAAGTGCTGAGATTAAAGGTGTGCACCCCCACCACCCAGCTTCCAATTACATTTTTACTTTCATTTTGCACACATGGTGTATTTGTGGCAGGCAGAGCGGGTTCTGTCCTTCCACCATGTGGATTCTGGGCATCGAACTTGGATCCTTAGGCTTGGGGGTAGGCCTCTCTCTTTACTCACTGAGCCATTCATAGGGTCTTATCAGACCTGCCTGGCCTAGTACTTGCGGTGGAACCCAGAGTGGCTCTAACTCTGAACCATTCTCCTGCCATAGCATCCTGAGTCCAGGACTTATAGATGTGAACCACCACACCTGGGTCCAGTTACACTTTTAATATTGCACATTAAGAGTTAGTGAACACCCGGCACAGTTCAGTTTGCCAAGTTCTATGGTGATTTATAAAAGGCCTTCTCTCAGGACTAACTGTACAGTCAGCTCAGGTCCTGGAGTCACCACCCACCCACGCCAAGGAACCAGCATGGTAGCACCCCAAGGCCATCCCCAAGTCCCTCTGCACACGAGGCCCTGCGCTTACCGAGCAATCTTGATGTAGTAGTGTGTCGGCTTAGGCATCAAAAACTCCCCAGGGATCTCCACTTCAGCTGTCTGAGCTGAGAAATTGCTCAAGAACCGGCACTTTTCCTCTATGAGGAAGAATTTGGGAAGCTGCTTGGTTTTAGCCTCAAGGATTTTGATCCACTTTTTCAGTTTAGAAATTAGATTATGAAGCTTCATGGATCCTGGGACACTGAAGTCAAAATCTGCAGAATAAAATAAACAGAATTAAAACCAGCTTCACAGGCTAAGTATGATACAGCTTGGTTGGCGATGAGTCTGTATAGCATGTAGAACTCCCAGGTTCCATCCAGGAACAGGGCTGATGAGAGTGCCAAGGGTGGCAGTGCACCAGGCCTTTGGCTGTGCCACCTCACAGCCCCTGCATGAACTTCACTGCTTATAAGGTTAGTCAATGTGCTCTCTGTCTTTCAAGTGACATCTATCTGGTTTACGACTGAACTTTTACATGACCACTGAGGTAAGCACACACACTCTACCAGAGCTGCACTTTGTGCTCGGTCACTGACTTCCTCACAAAGCGCTGGTGATGTAGCTCACTGGTAGAGTGTCTGCCTAGCTGGCACAAGTCCTGGATCTAGTCCCCAGGGCTCACCTCCAATCCTAGTTGAGGTGTGCACCGGTAATTCCCTTCCATTGCTGAGTCGTGATGAACGACACTCAGCTAGTCTATGCTCTACCTCCTGAAGGAGGCCTGGGTGGTTTCTGGCTTGTAGACAGCAATGAATACTCACGCACACCTTGCTGCATGAGAACCCTGAGTGCTCTCCTTTCTCTTTAGGACTGCCGGTGGACTCAAGCTTGTTACATATACACAGAAGCAGCCTTGCAGGTGCAGGCCAATAGTGTCAGACTGCTCTCATTCATCTTTGGCTGTATCTGAGGAAACCTGGTGATTTTGACTTCTTTTGAGTTTTTGGTTTTACAGCTTTTACATTGAGATCCAAATGTATCAACCCCTATCTGATTCTGTTTCAGACCACAATGAATGGAAGGATCTGATGTTTCAGATACAGATACTGAGCACCGGCCTAGATAAAAGCAAGCTGGGTCCTCGGTGTGTGGAAGTCAAGTGTGATGGGAAAATGCTGATCTCATGCGCTTCCCTCTTCAACAGGGTGATGGCATTGCTGACTTCAGTGGCAAGAATCTTAACTAACAGCAGCTAGCTCCCTGGTGAGAAAGATGGTAGAGCCCAGATTTTTTCTTCTTTTTCTTATCTCTGTGGATATGTGGTGTCTTGTGTGTGAATATAGGTACATTGAGTGCAGGGGTTACAGGCATGCGCATGCATGCACATCCCTAGATGCTCCTCAACAAAGCTCTACATGTGGAAGCCTCAGCCTGAGGCAGGTTGTGTGACCCTCAAGCACATTACAGATCACCCACAGGAGCCCAAGTGTTCTCAGACCACCCGTGAGGTGACAGGACAAACTCCACATGCCAGGTAGAGTCACAGTAGGCTGTGGCTGAAACTGTAAAGCATCTTCTTGCATAATCAACAGGTATCTACCATAGGCACATGCACCACACACCGTTTTAATTGCATTCTTTCATCTTTAAGGACAATAAGGAAATTACTGAAGTTTTGGGACTAGGGGTGTGGCTTAGTGGTTGAGTATTTAGCCAGCTTAAGAGAGACAGAAAGAGAGAAATGCACTCCATGTCCCCTGCGGTTTCAGTATGTATCAGTGAATAAAGGATATTTTAGATAGCTACAGAAAGAGTAGGTAAAGATGTTTCATGTAATTTTGAGAAACTGAGGCAAATCTTGTTTACATGTCCACTCCGATGGCTAGGGACCTGTTTGGGCAAGTTGCTCTAAACAGTATGGGAGGCACTGTGCTATGTAAACACACATATGAGCTCGGGAGTGGTGAGGCTCCCCAGATGAGGCGGGAAGAAACCGGGAGAGGATGTGAATACCTCTAAACCTAGGAAAGAAAATATCCTCATGTCAACCACGGACAAGTAACGGAAACAGTCCCCTTGTTGTCCTGCCTCCTGCCCTGCAAATCTGCACCCCACCTGTCACGTCAAGCTGGCATCTTAACTTTAAAATATTCTACCTCATCTTGTAGTTCTGCCCTAAAGCCAAGTGAGGGGGGCTGGAGAGATGGTTCGGAGGTTAAGAGCACTGACTGCTCTTCCAGAGGACCCGAGTTCAATTCCCAGCAACTACATGGTGGTTCACAACCATCTGTAATGAGATCTGGTGCCCTCTTCTGGTATGCAAGCATGCATGCAGATAACTGTATACATAATAAATAAATAAAATCTTAAAAAAAAAAAAAAAAAAAAAAGCCAAGTTAGGGAAGGCAAAGGTTTGGCCTGAAAAACCTTCTAACCCTCATCTCTGAAGGCTGAATTCTAGTCCTTCAGGGGAAAATAGACTGCTGGCAGTCCTGGCTTCCTTATGTTTTGAGTACTGAGATAGGGTCTCACTATGTAGCTCTGATGTCCTGGAACTCACTATGTAGACCAGGCAGTCCTGGAACTCACTATTGTAGACCAGGTGGTCCTGGAACTCAAGAGATCCACCTGCCTCTGCCTCCCGAGTGCTAGGATCAAAGGCGTGCGCCACCACATCTGGCCAGAGTTTATGTTTTAACAAAGTCTAAGCAGCATGTGCCCAGTGCAAGACTCACCTGTGGTGAACTGGCCCTTCAGCTTCTGGAAAACGGGGTCCTGGGCTGTGGCTTGTGCTCGGCGGGCCAGTGACTCGGAGGCCGCACTGGAGAACATGGTTGAGACGTTGGACACGTTCTCCAGGCCCACTCCAAAAGTGCTCACCAGCTTCTTGACAAAGTTAAGAGTGTGAGGGGTAATCTTGGCATCCGATACAGCCCCACTCTTTTCAAAGGCGACAGAGTAACACTTTGCCAGGCCCTGCTGGAGTTGTCTGAGTACCTGGCAGAAGAGACAAAGACCATCAGCCCAAAGGGCAGTGGGTAGCCAAAGACTCACACCATGTCTGGCCACTCATCTAGTCATTTCTACCGTACCAACATCTGGCACCCAGTGCTACCTACAAACTCTTACATCAGCAAGGAGTTGGCCCAGAGCCCAGTAAGATAACACTACTGGGCAGGAAAGCATGTTATATTTTATCCCCAGTTGAGAAAAGGCTGAAAGTAGTAACCCATATGCTATCCATGCCATAGCTACAGTCCTTCCCTTACACACAGTGGCCATCAGCAGCCAGTCAAAAAGTAACTGAGGCCATGGAGGAATACTGCAGCAAGGAGTGCTCCTTAACGCCATTTCTTTTTCATTATTGCATGTAGTCTAGGCTGGCCCTGAACTCCTGATGTTCCTGCCCCTGCCTCCTGAGTTCCAGGATTGCAGGAATGGGCCACCATCATTTATATGGTGTGTATTTGCGTATTCCAGGCAAGCAAGCACTCTACTTACTGAGTTAAAAAACCCTCTGCCCTTATTCCCCTCATACTTCAATGACCTGAAGCTGTATTGGTGTCCAGAGACCAGCTCTTCACCTGCTGCATGGTTACATTCAACTATAAACAGCTGGGTGGACCAGATACCCCAGTCTGAAGACAGCATGTCCACAGACTCTTCCGGTACCATCTACTCCCTCTACGGGGAGGCAGCAGCTGCAGAGTAGGGTCCACCTACCTCCTCGTGCCAGTTCTCTCTAAACCAGACCATCTGGTCGACGATGCCTTCCAGGGAAGACAGGAGGGTGGGGTGAAGCTCCCGCTGCATGTGCATGATTCGGCTGCAGCGCCACATGGGCGCTGTTGCTCTTATGGGCCCTGGATCTGATGCAGAATGGGACTGGTTACCCACTGAACTGGGCTGCTGCTGTCCAGAATCTGAGAGCAACACACACAACGCCAATGTCAGCGCAAGACCCACTGATGACAAGCTCAGAGCGCTACAGGACCCACTGGCCACAGGAACACTGGTTCCTGCCATTGTGGGACAAGACCTTTCTTCCCCAGGGACAGGGCAGATATGCCCTGGTTCTAAGAACAGCTGTCCCACTTGACTGAGGAGCATGGTCAGCTATGCCCTGGCTACAGGTGGTCCAGGGAAAAGCCAGTGTGTGCACCAACGGACCACAGAGTTAAAGTGGGCAAGCGCCATGGCTCCCCGAGCCCCTTCATCATCTGCTGTCTGATGCAAAATGACAGTTTTGAAAATTAGTCTCCCACTGAGAAGCACACTGCAGAACCCTGCATGACTGATTTCTGGCTTGAGCTCACTGTATCCAGTCAGGAATTAAGAGAATAACCTTAACCTTGAAATGACCATGCCAGAGAGATGAAGCACACTGTGTTCCTGTGCCCACCTGGTCTCATGTCCTAAGGAGGTTCTGGTGCAGCACGGGAAGCCAAGTGACTTATGAAGCACCATGCTGATCAAGTACCCCAGACCACTAAGTCAGTCTTCTCCTCAGTGAGGCTGTCAGTGTGCATCCAAAGTCATCTTCTGCGACTGTTCTTACCACAGCTCCAGACAGTCCCGTCAGGACTGCAGCACACTGACATCTTTGTTGCCGGTAAGAGCTCTCTATTTCCTATAGCTGGGACCTCACTGTGGCAGGGAAGATTACAAAGTACTCAGCCATTAGGCTTGGCCCTCTGCCCCGACTGAAGAGAAGACTGACCACAGGTAGGAGGGGAGCTGTGGGCAGGGTGTGCCTGTAGCTGCAGTGCTCTGGGATACCCCACAGACTGACCCCCTCACACCCCACCAGCTTGCCCAGCTAAGACGTACCACTCTTGTAGCGCTCCCTCTGCTCGATCTTCAGCGTCAGGTATAGAGTCCGGATGGGAAAGTAGACTGCTTGGGGATACACTCGTCCAACCTGCTCAGAGACAGCAAGGGGTCAACAGCATTGTTCCTCAATACATGTTCTGGGTGATAGACAATGTATGGGGAAGAGTTAACTGAGCAAGCAGTTAATGGGTTTTGGTTGGGCATTTAGGTCGAAGAGACCAATCAATACCAGGTGACTGACATAATATATGTAGCTGTTAGCCAATAAATGAAATAGCTAGCTCAGTTGTTTAAAACCCCAACAGACCATGTCTCATAAATTCTACCTGAAGACTGTTAATGGCAGAAACCACTCTCATTTCCTTCAGTAAATCTAAGGAAAGCAAGAGACACTGACTCTGGACTTGGATCTTAGCCAATGAAAGACTTCTGTGTATTTGTTAGTCATGGTATTGAGCACAAGCCATTCCAAGTCATAGTGACTCCAAATAAAGGACAAGCCCACTTGGGCAACTTTTGGTCTGTGTAACTGCAGGAGTTGTCAAAGAAACATGTACCCAACTTGGCAGGCATCATCTCTACCATACTGGCTTGTGATCCTGTTTTCAGACCTTGTATATGTGCCACAGAAGACAGGCACATCTAACTGCCAAGGACACAGGGCACCTGGCTTGTGTGTATGCAGCCACTGCATGGATGACAATATGGGACAGATTTAGGCAGTAACCTGGCAGCTAAACTCTAGGCAAAATGCCAGGATTTGCTCTCAAGCAAAAGAAATGTCTTTTCCAGGAATTACATGACAATCTCCATGTAGACGGAACCAACTAGAGAGGTGCTGCCTGTTCTGCCAGGCATAACCGGGCACAGCTGGTGGCTGCTGTTCAGGTGAAGCTCTGACTTTAGGAAGTAACAGAGGCCTTGAGCACCCTAACTAACTATACCACTACTAAAGAGTCTTCATCTAGAGCTGGAGAGGTGGCTCATGGGTTAAGAGCACTAGCTGCTCTTCCAGAGGTCCTGAGTTCAATTCCCAGCAACCACATGGTGGCTCACAACCCTCTGTAATGGGATGATGCCCTCTTCTGGCCTGCAAGTGTACATGCAGACAGAGCACCCATACATAAAAAAGATCTTCATCCCTCAGACTCCTACAGACATAAAAGCTCTGTGAGACCCAAGTGTGCCCAACTCCACCTGGCTGATGAGGTTCAGGAGCAGCTTGCCCTCCGAGCCCACCAGGCAGGTGAGCAGCTGTGGAATCCATGCCAGCCACTGGATAGGGGGCACACCAATGCAGTACTTATCCACAGCATCTGCCAGTGTGTTCTTGTCATCATCAAAACTCAGAAGCCACAACACCTAAGGCAGAGGACAAGTTTTAGTTAGTGACATGAGAATTCTGAGTGCATCGATCAAGTGGCTTTTCCCCAACCTTCAATGAAGTGGTGTTACTGGCCATGATGGGGCATCAACACAAAGCTTAGAGTGGAACCTTTCCAGTGGGATAGAATCTGTAACCTGAATCCAGTTTTCCTGCTAATTGATCAAACCTGGGGACCAGCAGTAACTGCACGGAGACAACAGGTAGATAACCTGCTTGTTCACAGGGGTGCCCTCACCCAAACCAAACCAAACAGATTTTGGTGAGAATCTCATTATCAGCCATTTGCAGCAGGCAAACTACATGCTGGTGGCCGGCATCCTTCAGAGCCTGTGACTGCAGAGTCATGAGGATGACGCTGCCACAGCAGTGTAGGGTTGGCATCTGGCTTAGCAACCATGTGTGCTGATGTACACTCCAAAGCTCATGTTCAACCAGGGACTCAACAAACAGCCCCAGGAGAGCTTATTCCTATGTCTGTTGCAAACATTAATTCTTGCTACGCTGAGGCACTGCATGGACAGCACACAAGTGGGTGAATGCCAGTTCCCTCTGGCCCAGAAGGCCTTGTCCATGATGTGGCCCCAGACAGCACTAGACATAAAGGAAAGGCCGAAACCCCAGGATGTTCAGGCCTCTGTTTCCTTCGCTTCAGTTGTGAAAAGTCCCACAGTAAGGAGATGGAAGGTACCAGCTGTTCTGTGGCAAAGATTAATTTCCCAGTCTTACCTTGGCCAAGTACTTCCTTGATTTGCTCTCATTCTGGTGGCGGCAAGCGTGAAGGTAGCAGGTGATGGCAGACACACCCAGGTGCAGCTGCCGCTCCTTCACGAAGATGCTCTCCAGGTAGTCACCCCACATGGCCCAGGCCTTCACCAGAACATCATGCATCTGCACAGCCGCTGAGAACGCTTTGTTGGCTTCCTCTGATCTATGTGGAACCAAAACATACAGCAGATGACACAACACTGCTTCAAATCCTGGATTTCAACTGGGAGCAGCTCATACCTGTCATCCCAGCACTCAGGTGGCTAGCCCAGAACACATGGGAACCTATGGGCCAGCTTGAGGTACACCACCAGACACTGTTTTAAAAATCCATAACCAACCAACCAACTAACCAAACCGAACACTGAGTAATACTTAACACGTTCATGGAACTGTTGTGGGGCCTTCCTTAAATAGTCACTCTGACTCCCGGCAATGCCACATCCCCAGCCACCAATCTAATCTGCTCTCCGTCTCAATGGACTGATGTACTTGACACACTTGTTGTCATCAAGCTATACATCGTGTGGACCTTTCAGTCAGACTTCACCTAGTGCAATGTTTCTGAGGCATCCACACTGAAGCATGTGCCAGACACCATTTGGTTCTGTAGCTGCGTGACTCCACCGTATGTGCAGAGATGGCCATTCGCTTAACCCTGATGCTATTTCCACACTCTGCCTGCAGTGACTAGTGCTGCTACAGACATGGAAACAAGTACCTCTTTGCTTAGGTCTTTATAGACCAAGGATCAAACCTCTGGAGCCGAGGGCAGCCCAGTCTTAAAGTTTTCTGTGCAACTGCCCCTTATCAAACTATTCCACAACAGTGATACAAGATCCCACTTTCCTACCACACGCTACTGATGTATCAGACAAATCAAGAAAACAAAGGCCTCCTATGACCTTATGAGTAGGAAGGCTCAATCCCCAAACAAAACCAGCAGCCAATTAATTCAGAGGCACGGGAAAGACTATGACCAAGTAGGAGTTGTCTAGTGAGAAACAGGTGGGGTTCTGTACAACTTCCCATCTAAAACTAGATCCCATATGGATATGGCCCACAGTCAGGGCTGACAGACTGTGGCTCTAAAACAAAAACCCCTCTCCTCAGTCAGGCAGGGAATCAGAAGGCCCAACAGGATGGCCAAGGGGAGGAGCTTGAGTCCTGACTGGAGAACACAGCAAGCCCAGCTAAAGCAACAGAAGCCCACAACACACAAAAGGAAATGACTATACTCCCGACAGACAGAGACTGAGGGACCAGGTAAGGAGCCTTTGTCACCACCAGGTCTGTGCTCATGCCACTCTTCTCTAAGACACTGTGGGGCTCCACACAGCTCTACTGTGAGCTCCTCTCAGCAGAGGGCATCACGCACAGATGCCTCACCAGTCATCATGAAACCACACGATTCCCAGCTCTGAGCCACACACTGGCTGAAGGAACAGCTAGAGAGCTTGCCACTCAGCCCACATAGCACGTACTTGTTTATCTGAGCCAGGAACATTCCCTTCAGAGCGTAGAACTCAGCTGTCATCTCCTTAGTGAAGTATTTTAGGTTTGTGGACTCAATAACTTCAAGGCCCTGTTCAGAAACGAAGAGAGGGGGGAAAGAAAGGCTCTTGAAATTTCTAGGCAAAGCCCTTTTTTCTAAGGCACCATATATCCAGCCACACTTGCTCTTTCACTTGGTCCTCCAGGCACAGGCATAGCCAGGACTGACCTTACCTCCTCCTTTGCAATGCTTTTTTCTTCCCTAACACATAGCTAAGCACATGGCAGAATAGACCCCACAGATGCAGTTTTAACACTGAATGGTTTCCTTTCCTTTCTTCTTTCGGATGAACAGTTTCCCACTGTCAAGGCTGTGTTTGGAACATTCTCATCTTCCTTCCTCTCTGCCTGGCCCAGAAGCCCCAACGCGGTCACCTCTTCAGGACTCTACCTGCATGCACTCGTTCTTGCCCATCACTCCTGCCAGCTGGAGGTAGCATTTCACTTGCTGTCGAATCTTCTGGAAGCAATCCACGATGGGAACGGTAGGGATGGTATGAATACGGCTCAGTATATCCAGTGCCACATTAACTAGACCTTGTTTACGGGCAATTTTCCCATACTGGATGATAGCTGAGGCTGAGGCATGAACTCCAAGCATGGCATTATTGGAACTTGGGTCGTGGTGAGAGCTATTTTCATACGCAGTTACAATGGCTAAAGAGCAAAGGAATTAGCTGTCAGGCATGTCACATTCTTTTCTAAGTGTGTCCCAATCAAGCTTAAAGAAAAATGAAGAACACACGTAACATGGCTCATGAAAACAGGATACACCCTTACTGCTTTCCCTGGAACCCTGTGCCAGGATGGGCTCAGTTGGTAGAATACTTGCCTAATATGCATGAAGCCCTGGGTTTGTTCCCTAACACTACAAAAATGTAGAATACTTGCCTAATATGCATGAAGCCCTGGGTTTGTTCCCTAACACAGCAAAGGGGGGGCATGGTGAAGCATGCCTGTAGCCCCAGCACTCAGGAGGCTGAGGAGGAAGGATCAGAAGTGTGTTATCCTTAGCCCTCAGCCACACAGTGACTGAGGCCAGCTTGGAATATATGAGATTCTGTCTCAAAGGGATAAAAAGGGAAAACTAGAGTACAGCATGTCTGTCTTCCCATAGAAGGTCATGGAATCACAAGGTGGGTTCTCAATACAAGGAAGCCTGGAGGTTATAGAGGAGGAAAACCAGGAGTGGACACAAAGCCAGCTGAGAACAGGTGCTTCTAAGCAGGGGCTTTGAGACAGAACATGCCACCGCTCCCTCACCCTGTCTTGCACCCTTGGGGTCTAACAGGAATTTCCAGCTAAATGGGTAGGGTGCAAAACCTTCCCACTGCTTCCCATCTTCACTTCTCCCCCACCAACACCATTGCTACCTCTTACATCTACCCCAGAACACAAAATCTGGGGGAAAAAAACAAAAACAAAAAAAAACAAAACAAAGACATGAAACCAGCACAGCGGGGCGTCTGGGAAATTACATGATGAATGCATGCCGGACCAGGTCGGTTTACCCTGGTAATGGTGCTGCCGCCACATGAAGACGCTGCTCCAGTGGGACAAGTCGTCGGACACGATGGGCAGCCGGTTCCTCCAGGTCTTCACCACCGTCTTCATGTCATGGAGGCTGTTGTTCCTGCCCAGGTTGGTGGGCTGCAGGCCTGCATTTATCTGTGCAGCTTCCTGAAGCTCTATGATCTGCTGAGCAGCCTGGGGAGCACGGAGAGATTCCATAAGTGGGGACTGGGTGAGAGCTCAGAGAGAGGCTTTACCACCAAGCCTGACGAGGCAGACTGAGTCGGAGTCGATCCCCAGAACCCATTTGGCAGAAGGAGAACGGATTCTGCAAAGTTGTCCTCTGACCTCTTTACCTGGGCCAGGACACATACATAAATACAAAACAAACAGCCAAGGCTGGGCACAATGGTGCACATCTTTAACCCAGCACTCAGGAGGCAGAGGCAGGCGGATCTCTGAGTTCCAGGATAGCCAGGGCTACACAGAAAAACCTTGTCTCAAAAACAAACAAACAACAACAACAAAAAACAAAAACCAAAACACACAACCAAACAAAACAATAACACCACCACCAAAACTCCAATGAAACAGCCCAAGTCACTGAAAGGACTCCTGGAAAATATCTTTATGGGAGTTGCCTGGGCTTGCAACTAGGATTTCTTAGTTAGAGGCCTGCGTGCAGAGATGGCTCAGTGATAAAGGTGCTGACTTCAAGACTGAGGACCTGAACTGAGACACAGGGAAATAGAGAACTGAGTGGCCCAAGAGGTCCTCTGACTGAAGACACATACATACAATAAAATAAAAACATTGGATGTGGCGGTGAGCATTCAGAAGAAAAAGGCAAGTGGATCTCTATGTATGAGCTTGAGACTAACCTGAGTCCTAGGCCAGCCAGGGCTACATAGTGAGACCTTGTCTCAGAAAACAGAAACAGCCAGGCACAGTGGTACACCCCTTTGAACCCATTACTCAGATCTCTGAGTTTGTGGCCAGCCTGAACTACAGATGGAATTTAGGACAGTCAGACTACATAGAAAAAACCCTGTCATGAAAAACAAATACAACAAAAAGATTTCTTAGTGGTGTGGAGGCAGCTGTCACTTGAAGTGGATTCCTTAGAAATGACATTCCTGATGTTGTCAACCATGAGGGTACTGGGAATTGAACCTGGGTCATTTGAAATAGCACTCAGTGCTCTTAACCGCTGAGACATCTCTCCATTCCTCATAGTCATCTCTTTAAATGCAGCAGGACATGTCCACAGCGAGACTACCAACAAATACTCCTATTACAAACCGTTAGCAAAGTAGTGAGAAAATGAGACTTCTTTTCATTCACCCTCCAAGGCATCCAGACATCAGGATCATGTGACAAGCTTCATTTCATACTTCAGGCTTTAAATATGTAACTGCACAGCAATTCCTGTCTTCACAATTAGCTCTGGTATTTTTACTGAATAGCTCAGAAATATAGTCAGTAACTGTTTCTATGCAAAGATAATTTCTCAGTAGTCATAAGAGGGAGCTGCTTGACTCTTTCCTACACTGTAGAATAGAAATCTGCTGATAACTAATATCTTGAGATATTTCAGTAACTTAATTCAGACAATCACGTATGTGCAGAGTAACTACATGTCATTTTAGGGCACTCTTTCAGAAAAAGCAGAGGGAATAGGTACATAGAAAAGCACTGAAATGACAATAAGGCACTGTTCACTAAAGGTGTGGCTCCGAGGAGACAGTCTCAGACACGAAGTCACTATTGTTTGAGAAGCTGCAGTGCTTTGCCCTAAATCCCTGCCCCCAGAACTCACTGGGATTTAACCTCTTAAATCAACTATGGTGTTTTAAGAGATGCCCAGGATTGGATCATCAGCAAGGAGACCCCATATTTTTAATCTGGTAGCTCTATAACACATTCTGATGTCTTACACCATTTTCCCCAGCAAGAAACCCATCACAAGATGTGGTCCTGACTTTTATACCTCTAGAAACTGACCCCAAATGGACCCTCTGGGATGGTTCACACTGTAGCCCACAATGCTATTTACAACATAAAACAGATTAATAGACACACCATAGCAAACCCCAAATACTGATTTAGTCTCAAAAGTACTCTTTCACGGGTTGGAGAGATGGCTCAACAGTTAAGATCTGATGCCCTCTTCTGTCATGCTGGCATACATGCAAATAGAGCACTCATATACATAAATAAATCTTAAAAAAAGAAAAAAAGTACTCTTTCACAAATTGCCAGAATCATTACTACTGCCCAAGGAGAACATCAGGGTTGTGTGTGTCACTTCAGTCTTTCAAGGCTGGATGGGACCTGTCTGAACAGTAGCTTCACACTGTTATGTGCCAAAGGTGGCGCTATGGTAAAATCACAATCACTTGTAAGAGTATCTCAGACCCTGAATTGTAAGATGAAGAGCCACACTGTTTTCCCCTCATGCTCTGACTCTGGCCTTCCCTTCCTGAGGACAAATTCCCATGGAGAAAGAGTTCCTTTTTCACTTGGCTCATCCATGAGCCTCAGCTGCTCTGGACCCCAGGCTGCGCTCTGAGAGGGGCAGTACTTACCTGCAGAAGAGGTGTGTGCACATGGGACACCACGTGAGGACTTGTAAGAGTATCTCAGACCCTGAATTGTAAGATGAAGAGCCACACTGTTTTCCCCTCATGCTCTGACTCTGGCCTTCCCTTCCTGAGGACAAATTCCCATGGAGAAAGAGTTCCTTTTTCACTTGGCTCATCCATGAGCCTCAGCTGCTCTGGACCCCAGGCTGCGCTCTGAGAGGGGCAGTACTTACCTGCAGAAGAGGTGTGTGCACATGGGACACCACGTGGGCCCCCCCCCGCCACTCTCGGATGGCCAGGCTGCTGGCCATCTCCACCAGGCGCTCAATGAAGCTGAGCTGCTGCTCCTCGGGATGGCAGATGGCCAGGTATCCTCGATACATGTTAACCTTCCAAGCCATCTCCTTCGGACAGCTGACCTCCACCTGGAGTGAGGAAGGACAACCAAGGTGGTGATGATGCTCTCCAAACTGTGGCCAATTACACAAAGCAATACACAGAAATCTGGCACTAATGTAAAAACTGAATTTCAATAGAGAAGCCAGGCATTTACACTGCTCTTCTGAGATCATCTCCTGGACCCAGGTGAGTAATCCCTGAGTTGCAGAGTGTATTACAAAAGCTCCCAGGGTAAAGACAGACTGTCCTTCTGTCATGCTGCCATATGCACAGACCTACAAGGACCAAGTCATTTTAAACACCCTACTCACACTGTACATCACACCCCCATGTCTAGTATACTTCAGAACAAGAACCTACCCCACCCCCTCCCTCCCTCCCTCCCTCCCTCCTATCAGTGGCTTTTCAGATAACAACAAACATGCCAGCCTGGGCTGCTCTGGCTCCAACCTTACATGTTGTTAGTCCTGATGCTTCTTCCAACAAAATCTACCAACACCACCAACTTAATTATTCCAATCCGATTTACAATGTTACCTTTGCAAGTAAAACTGAATGACAAAGGCTGGAGAGACGCCTGAGCAGGTCAAGAACACCTGTCACTCTTGAAGAGCACCTGAGTTTGGTATTAACATTCACAACAGACAGTTCAACCACTAGAACCACCTGTAACTCCAGCTCCAGGAGATCTAACGCCTTCTACTGGCCTCTGTAGCACTGCACTACCGCAAACACAGTCTCAGTCTCAGTCTCTCTCTCTCTCTCTCTCTGAATGCTCAATTAATACCAAACTTACTCAAATCTAATCTTAGTGACAGAAAGTCAGGCAATATGGTCCTTGTTAACACTGCAACATGACAGGGGTCTTACCTGCACCAGTGCCTCCTTCATGGCCGTCCAGTTGGAGACTCTCCATGCACACTCCAGGACGAGGTAGGGATTTATGTGGCCTTTGGACTGGCCAAACTCAGTCAAGGCTTCCCACTGGTTCAGCTCCTTGGAGCACCTAGAAGACAGGAACTCAATCAGGACAACACAGTGAGAGTTGGGAAGGTGAAGAAGGGTTGAAGACACAGTGTCACCACAGAAGAAAAAAGTGCTGGAGTATAGTGCTGTGGGACACTATCTGGGCTTGCCTTTAGAAGACCTGCCTGCCCTACGACCATACAGCCAACAGAGCAGGGCTCTACATCCTGAGGGGAGGCAGCAATGATCGGTTCTTCACCAGTTACAGTTTAATTACATATGCATTAGTTTCTTAGATTCTGAGCAACCAACCCTTTAGAGAAATACTCAGGAATAATTCACAGACAGATCACCTTGCTTCTTTAATTCAAACATTAAAATTGTCCCCTGACAGGATCTTACTCTGCAGCTCATGCTGGCCTCAAACTCAAAGATCCGCTTGCCTCTGTCTCTAGTGTGCTGGGATTAAAGGTGTGCGCCACCATGCCCAGCCCATCTATACACTCTACACCAGGGGCTCCATATGGAGTCACATAACTGAATCTGAAGATGGCCAGCAAGTTAGCAATAGTAAAAGGCTCTAGACACATACCAAGCACATACTAACCTAAAATTAAATGCATAATGAATCTGAGGTGCTTCTAGAAGCACTTGCCATGTTGAACTATGTAACTTTACTGTGGCCTTGTGACCTTCATGAGGCCCATGACCTCACACTAATAGATGCCGGTGAATGCTGCTGGAAACACCTTAGTTCAGATTCCAGACAAACAACTGTGCTATGACTACAGTGCTTTATCGCACACACAGTTTCTGGCCTAAGAGAAAAGAGCCTAATAGTGAAAAGCAAAGACTTTAGTGTTTTCTTGCCGTTATTCCTCAGCACACAGGTATCAAATCAATGTACCTCTGGGCTATATTGTGTTAGAATGCTAGGTTTAAAACACTGGTATGTGAGGCCTGACAAGATGTCTACGGGGGTAAAGGTGCTTGGCACCAACCCTGGGGTACTTAGAGTAACACCATGGAAGGAGAGGACGAAGACCACAGCTGTCCTCTGATGGCCACATGTGTACCCTGGCTTGTGTGTACCCCACACATGCAAATACATAGGTGCCATTTGAATACTGAAACACATATACATATTTCAAAGAAGTGTCACCAAGGCCTGGTTCAGCTCACCTAATCCAGTGATCCTCCCACAGCTGGTACTCAGGGAAAATGGCAGGAGAGGCATTACTTCGCTCATGTTCTTTTTTGGCTTTGTCCATTGCCTTTTCATAGGATTCTTGGGCCTAAAAAGGTAAGAATGACATCAAGCTACAGAGGAGAAAGTGTTTTCCTTGTCTTCTTAACTGGGCAAGCTAGACAGGAACCTAGGAACTATAAATATACCCTTCTCATCCAAGGCTGCCTGATGCTCACAACTTGCCTTTTAGAGTCAGGACAGAGGACAACCCTCACAAAGGCGGTGGAGAAAAACCACAGGACACACAAATGTGTTCAGTTCTGGGCCCCAGCATCCTACACAGGGCCAAGATTCACCCTGTAATCAATGCTGTGCCGCACAGAAAGCATGGGGCTGAGGACTGGCGTGCATCTACCCACTGTTTCCAACAGAGCCAGGGACAGCTTAAGAGCATCTGTATTGGCTTCTGATGCCAGAAGACTGAGGTAAAGATGTCTCAGCAGGTACAGGCATACCAACCTGAGTTTGAACCCGAGAGCTCAGGTAAAGGTGGAAGGAGAGAACTGACTACAGAAAGCTGTGCATATGTGTGCCATGGCACATGTGCTCATATGTGCTTACATACACAGGCATGCAAAACTGAAAAGTTTTAAACCATGTAAGGCATGTACCAAGGCTTCTCTAAGTTAAGATTTCAAAGGGTCTTCATGAACAGGTAACACAATGTGGCTGGGGTATAGGAGCCTTGCTGAGCCTACTGAAATTCTGGGTTCCATTTCAAGTACTTCAACAAATGACAACAACGCTCAATGAGACAACAATTGTCCCAAATGTAAGTTGTCCTAAGTGTAAATCATCCCAACTTACTGTAACTTAAGCATGTTACATTGAGGAAGACCCACAAGTAAAATTCACCAGGCATCACACAGAGGCATCACCCAGAGGCATCACCTGCTCAAAGAAGCCATGCTGCTCATAAGCAATGGCGGTTGCAGTCTCCGAGAACTTGCAGCGCTTCTGCCACAGGCCGGCCCACATGTCTTCCTCTTGTAACAGGGAGTAAAGCTCAGCGAGGGAATCCAGTATCTCCTGAAAGAAATCACTGCTTCTGAGTGCGTGGGTCAAACACATACTTTTTGGCAACAAAGTGACCCCCCTGCCCCAAGCATCATTTAAAACCTCTGGGGAGATGCACTTATTGAAAGTCACTGACAGAATGAGGAGTCACCTGCTGAGGTGGTGTTATGCTCTCTTGCTCATAAAACTCGGTTGTTTGCTTTGGTTTGATCGGCAGACTCAGCCCCTTCTCAAAGGCCTGGTGCTCCAGCATCAACGTTGAGCGGAACCAGAGGTTGTGAGTCTTCCCCAGATATTTCAGTACGCAGGGTCGCATGGGGATTGGGGGGACACACTGGGACATGGCTTCCACAAAGCAGTTTAATGCACTTGGCTGACAGTCACGCTGCACCTGGTGACTGCCACTGCACAGGAACGGGCTGATCTCCCCTGCCAGAGCCTAGAACCGAAGAGTGAGCTGTTTCAGGTCTTCATTCAAACACTGACAAGCCTGAACCAGGTGTGCTGCTGCACAACTGCCATACCAGCACTAGAGAGGCTGAGGCAAGAGGATGGCTAGTGCAAGGCCAGCCTGGGCTATGAGGTGATCTTGCGACCAACCTGGGGTATATATTGAGACCCTGTCTCAAACACAAAAAAAACTGGCCTGTCCCTCATCACTTGGTAACACTATAATTGGTCCTTGGGTGAGAGTCAGTAGTTTTTATCATACTCTGGAACCCAGAACTGTGTTCATTCAGGATTATTTATCAAAAGCTACAACTAATAATCTCCCAAAACAGGATTTTAAGATGTGACTCACATGCTGCTGTCTGTCAGAGAGGATTTTCCACAGCCTTGGGAAGAGCTGGACCCAGGTCTTCTCGGCCAGCGTTGTAGAAATGTGGCACAGCTGGACGAAGGCACTGAGCAGTGCTCCAGTCTGTGGGCAGAAGAAGACGGGCTCAGGTGTGCCCTGCATCCGACTCAAAGGGACACCAAGGCCACGGCTGCCTTTGGAGACAGACTCATGGCCCTCCTTTCTATCAGCAATGGCATCATGAAAAAGGGTGCATCATTTATATCCACGCAGATACTCTGTCTTGCTTCCTCAGCACTTTGCACTAACCAGGACAGCAATGGCGCCACTTAGACCAAGTCCAAAGGACTGACTTAATGCAGAGATCCAGGTTGGTTACCAGGAAAATATAACACAGAAATTACTGATGAGTAATTATTTTTCTTCCTCCTAGTCCTGATACAAATAGCACCACTGTTTCTGTATGACACTCCTCAAAGGTGAGTGGGTATACAAAGACTTAATTGATCACAGAGTCAAAATGCAATAATGCCCATGATTAACCAGTGTCTATGGAAGGCACAGCTCCTATGTGAGGAAACTGAGACCACCCACAGCAGACATGTGGGGAAGCTCTTTCCCCATAGAACCAGCCTGTCTTCACACTTCCCTACACCTCCTGATTTGAGACACCTGAGAAATAACCCAGAGTTATTGCCCATTACAGGCATCACTGATGATTTTTACCATTCCCACAGGACAGTAAGTGGTGGCGAAACCAATGTCTCTATTTCCCCTGCTTCCTCCATTATATTAAATGTCGAATCCAAACTCCCCCGGAACTATAATGGTTTCAACTGGGTAAAGAAGAAAAATAAGAGAAACTGTCGAAAGAAAAACTTATACTGGTGTGGAAAGACCCGTTTTGAAATAAAGATGGGGTCAGAAGATATTCACTTCCAAACTTGCCCACAGACCTTCACTTCCCGGAGAGTATCAAGGAATTTGTCATGTCTGTTGGTGAGCATGTGCAGCTGGTTCCCGATGTCCTTCTCAGAAAGCTCTTTGGTTTTGGGTGTGCTGGTCTGGTCACCAGGAGCCAGCTCAATATCTATCTCTACGTCCTAAACAAAACACAGGAAATGCAAGAGGTCAGGGAGTTCACAAGAACTCAACAAACAGAGCTTCTATGAACCAATGGCTACTTTAAAAAAAGACTTCAGGGGGGCTGGAGAGATGGCTCAGCGGTTAAGAGCACTGACTGTTCTTCCAGAGGTCCTGAGTTCAATTCCCAGCAACCACATGGTTGCTCACAACCACTTTGAATGAGATCTGGTGCCCTCGCGGGCAGAAGACTGTATACATAATAAATAAATAAAATCTAAAAAAAAAAAATCTTGTTAAAAAAAATTAAATAAATCTTTTTTTTTAAAAAAAAAAGACTTCAGTTATGCATAACACATGTCTGTGAGGAATGTGCACCTGAGTGCAGATGGCCATGGGAGCCAGAAGAGGGCGCAGATCCCCTGGAGCGGGAGTAACAAGTGTTCGGGAGCCACCCACTCTTGCTGGGACCTGATCTAAGAAGGCAGGAGGTGCTCTTAAGCACTGAGCTAGAGCTCCATGGCTCGATTTTTGACAAGTGTCAATTTTCTTAGTTTTCTAGAAGCTTTTCTCAGAGTACAACCTGAGCACCCCTAATCTGAAAGCCACCAAATACAAAAGGCTTCGAATGTGACACTTCCTTTTTATGGATGGTTGTGAGCCACCATGTGGTTGCTGGGAATTGAACTCAGGAACTCTGGAAGAGCTGCCAGTGCTCTTAACCTCTGAGTCATCTCTCCAGCCCCGAATGTGACACTTCTTAAGCACCCACAGGATGCTCCATTTTGGTGGTTTTAGAGAATTTTAGACTTCAGAATTTGGGTTCTTGGATGCAAAACTACAGTAAAAAAAAACCCTGAATTTTCAAAATCCAGAAACACCCAAAATGTGCAATACATGTGTTTCTAAGCATTTTAGATTGAGGACGTTTGCTGTACTCTTGCTGTACATTCTTTAAAATATAAACAAGGACCAGCACTCCCGATCCAGAGCTTGCCCCCCCCCCACCCCCTCCCCACTTTAGCCAGCATACAGGATGCATTTCCTTTCTGCACATCATGATACTCTCAGCACCTTGTGAGCCTCCCTGCACCCCACTGCATCTCTCTCTTAAGCAGCTGTGGAAGGATGATCATATGTTTGTCTCTGAATTATAGGAAACTAAATAGTACAAACTACACTGGAATCAAAAAAGTGTTAAGATGCAGCGTGGCTGCCCAACAGCCTTGCTCCATCATGTTAATGCTGCTGGGGTCACTGTACAGGACATGCCTGGATCAGTGTTTGGTATGTCACAAACAAGAATGAACTTTCTGTCTCTCCAGTTTTTTGAAAGTCACAGTCAACAATGGAATCAGGAAACTATCCCCCAAAGTCAAAAAGGTCAACTATACTATCTGCTGTGTTGCCCTGGATGAATCACCAAAGATTATAGCAAGACCATTATCAAATGACTTGATTAGCTATACTTCATCCTTAACTCAACTGTGCTAGGGATCAAACCCAGGGCTTCACTCCTGCTGGCAAGTACTTTACCAAACAAGCTACAACCCCAGCCCAGCTCCCACTTTAGAGAGAAGGAAACAAGTGTTCTCCTCTGTTGCTAATGGAGTCCTTCTAAAACCCACATTCCAACAGGTTGTGCTTCCCAAAGTCAGTAGCCTACAGTGCTGGCATATGCCCTTCCATGAGAAGAACAGAGAGCCAGGAGAACTTTGAAGACTAAGGTTCCGGCCTTGGCTGGAATGCCTTTTTCAGATGTGCTTTCAGCTCCATGCTGCCCATCTGGGACCAGGTGGCTTCAAAACTCATGGCTCCCAGAAGGCTGTGCAGGGCTTGGCACTGGGTCCCAAATGACAAGTACCACTTTTAGTCCAAGCACAGCATCACAACAGAGGGTAAAACCATTCCTCTGTTCTACACAGAATTGGAGCAGAACGATGCCATCAAATAGGCATGGCAACTAAGAGCTTCTCTGTTATTGGGTAGAAACAAGCTCTGAGCACTACTCTTGCCAAATCAAGACGAGTAGCAACTGTCCAGAGACTCACCTCTTCTTTTTTTTTCTTGGTTTTTCAAGACAGGGTTTCTCTGTAGCTTTGGAGGCTGTCCTGGAACTAGCTCTTGTACACTAGGGTGGTCTCGAACTCACAGAGATCCACCTGCCTCTGCCTCCCGAGTGCTGGAATTAAAGGAGTATGCCACCACCGCCTGGCTGACTCACCTCTTCTTTAGACTCACTATTCTCTCGCTCCCGAGGCTCCTGTTTGACGTGTGTGACCATGGCAAAGGCGGCTCGGTCGTGGCTATCAGCCAGGTTGATGACATTGGTAATGGATGGGAGCATAGCTCCCTGGCAGCTGGTGCCGATGGCCGTGCTCTTCTCACACACGGCCAGGAGGAGCTAGAAAGGATCATGGGAAAGACCACCAGTTTAAATTGCCTGCCACACTGGAAGTGCCTGAACACCCAGATATCAGAACAGACAGCTCAGATTACAGCACCCCACTCCAGGTTAGCTTCAGGCTTCAACTTGCCTTCCAGATGCCCCTGGCCCAACTTCCTCTGGCTTAGCATTCTCGCCTCTGCCCCAGTGACCTCTGCTTCACTTCCCACTACTCTTTTTCTCTCTCATTCCATGTGCCACAGCCCCAAGCCCAGCTCAGGGAGTCTCCTAGGTCATCTTCAGACCCACTCTCTCAGACTCGTCTTTTCACACAGCTAGCTCCATGACTTCCCTCTCTCTCCAAACCCCTCAAAGACTTCTCATACCCTCAGAGAGACAGCCCATACTAGCCTAAGATCCTCTGTGATGTGATATCTCATCCCTTGACTGTCTATGTGGTCCCCGTGTGCTCTCAGCACTTCCCCCAGATATTTCCACTGTAGCAGCCCCTGTACAATCACTACAGGGCGATTGCTTGTGCTGCCCCAGGCACTAGGGGAAAGCTGGCTTCAATCCTTCAATCCTTCTAGGTAAGCAGATGTCACTCTGCTAAGTACTAGTAACCTGACAAACCAGTGCTGCCTGGTGCCTGAAGCCCATGAGTAAGAATGGCCTGGCCCATGAGTGCCCTGAGATCCTTATGGCAGACTTGCCTCTCAGGGAAACACCAAGCCCTCTGCAGGCTGGACTTCACAGACTGCACACACCTGCCTGCTGCCCCAAATCCTTACACCAAGGATCCCAAAGCAACAGTACTGGCAAGCTGCCCACTCTGTTCACGACTGATGAGACGACACCCACAAACATCCATTCAACTTTCTAGGCAGATGAAATTTAAAGATGTTTCTATGTGAAGAAGAAGGAATCTTTGCCTACTAAAATTTCTCCCGGCTTTCTGATACAGGTTCTAATTAGCACAGTAAGATGAGACAATGCTGTCTTAATTCCTTACTTCTGATGATTATCAGCAAGGCCTGTTTGTCTCCCCTGCAGTGGGACAAAACCAGGTACACGGCAAGATATTTCTGTACCTCCTTGTGTTGTAGGATGCAGCAGTTTGATGAGAACAGTCCCCATAGGCTCACATGTTAGAATGCTGGGTCCCCAGTTAGTGGAACTGTTTGGGAAGGATTAGATGTGGTCTTGTTGGAGGAGGTGTGTCACTGGGAATGGGCTTTCAGGTTTCCAAAGACTTTTGCCATTCCCAGTGTACTCTAAGCCTTGTGGCTTGAGGTCTGTGAGCTCTCCGCTGTTGCTACTGCCAAGCCTTAGCTCCACCATTGAGGGCTGTAACCCTGTGGCCCATAAACCCAATTAAATGCTTTCTTTCATAATTGCAATGGTCATGGTGTTTTTTAACATAACAATAGAAAAGTGACCAATTCACAGGATAATCTGCTGCCTTCTCTGCCCCCTCAGAAAACCCCCAGGCTCTCTCACCTACCCTACCTCAATACACTGCTTGATCCAGAAATGGCTTCCCATGGCTTCCCAATTCTGGGAACAGGTGACATACAGCAAGCGCTCATAGACACGGCGTTTCATAGAGTTGTCAAAAACCTCAAAAAACTTGGCCCTGATCAACGGCTGGGCACAACGGAGCCCAGAGAGAAAGGCGGGCTCGAGCTTTGCAGTCAGCTCACTGCCAGAAAGAGCCTCGTCCCTGCAATGAGAGAAGGTAACAGAAGATGTCAGAGCCAGGTGACACCCAGATCAGTGTTCAAGATGATGGATACCAGCTCCCTCAGACCAACTCCATTGTAACACCAAGGTGTTTTCCCCATGAAGGCTTGAGCAACACCTCTGCAAGGGCTCAGAAATGCTGCCAAGGGTGCTGAAGAGATGGACCAGTGATTAAGATCACTAGCTGCACTTCTAGGGGAGCTGGGTTCCATTCCCTGAATCCACATGGCTGTCTACAACCTTCTATAACTCCAGTTCCAGTGGATCTGATGTCCTCTTCTGGCCTCTGAGGACACTGAGGCACATATATACATGCAAGCAAAACACTCATAAGCATAAATAAATCTTAAAAAGATAAAGAAATGCCATCAAGGTATGTTACCTTAATATCAAAGTGAGTGCTCAATTTAGATGGAAGTACAAGATTAAAGTCAAATTGCACTGCTCAGTGGGGAACACACCATGGACCACAGGCAATGTGACCAGTACTGAATTACCTGTAGACGTAGTTAACAAGGTCCAAAAACTGGGCATTTAGTTCAAGGTCTTCTGGGAAGCGTTTCTCTATGTAAGTCATCATTTTCACGAGCAAGATTGACTTCTCCCGGAGTGTAGGAGTCTACAAAATTGGTTTCCCAAAGAAAGTACCAATTATACTACTTGAAAAACCACAAATCCATAAGCATTTCACAGCCTCCTGTCCAACTCTCCACGCTCCTGCTATTTTACCAATAATATAGTATTACTGCAATCAAGCCAGCTCATTTTTAAAGAGAAAGAAAAAAAATCAAAGACGGCTGTAATTATCTTTGGGTGCTCAGTCATGACACACCAATAACCATCACCTCTCCCTCCACAGGGGTGCTCAAAGTCATGACATACCAATAACCATTACCCCTTCCTCCACAGGGGTGACTCCCTTTGGAAACTCAGAAGCTGCCAAGTATCCTCCTACATGACAGTCTCCTACCAGCAACAGTATTTCACAGCTCACCTCCACCACCACCAAAGAATAAACTTACAAATAAGATTCATGCAACATTTTAACAAAAGAAAAGTCACTGTGAGAAGGGTAGCTGGTTAGTTCATCTGCTTGGCCCACCCAGTGAACTCTTCATTAAGCAATGATATTGTGGAGGCAATCCAAGAACCCTCTTGTTCCACATATGTCAGAAGGAAGAGTAAGAGGGCACTGCCTCTATGTTCCTAGGCTTCAAGAGAGGGCCAACCTGGCAGAGTGTGGCCCTCCTGCCAGCTCACCTGATTGGCTGCCATTGGGGAATTATTCTTAACCCACTCCTCCACAATCTTCACCACAGCTCGGAGGATCTTGGCATCTGGGGATTTCTCGATGAGGGAGGTCAGGATGGTCTGGATGAAGTTCTTCCGCATCTCCATGCTCATCACCGCCAGCCGAGTCTTCACAAGCTCCAGGCTCAGCATCACCAGCTCACTTGTTCCAGCTGTGCAGAGAAAGGACAAAGACCTGGGTCCCATTCCTACAGAGGCACTTAAAGGAACTACTGTCCTGAAAAAAAATTCACAAACGTTTTCACTCTAAGCCTTTTCTCCAGCAACTGGCATGCCGGGATCTGAAGCAATGTCACTTCTTTTTGGCTACAACTTGCAAAGTGCCCTCTTGCATCCCCAATCACAAAAAGGGGAGTGGGGTGACAGAGGTGATGGGGCCAGTGTAGGCATCCCAGCCTCTCCACATCCTACCTGAAGCTACCTGGCACTGGGGTCCTAGGGAGCCTCCAGTAGACATGGGAAACACAACACACTGCTAACCCCCACTACCCAGTCAGTGGGGGTCTTGGCTCTGTTTAGGAACCTGACATATCTCTTCAGAAACGGCAACTCTGTCATAAAGTCCTCTGATGACTCGGTGGCTGTGGTGAAGGTTCACACAGATTCACTACTTCCCGTTGCTCTTCATTCTCACACTCACAATCTTAAACTAGACTTTCGGCCTAAGCCATGTTTGGACTTTAAGCCTGTTACAACTTCACATTAACCCATGTTCACAGTAGTGCTTTAACACGTGGCCAGCACCACCCAGATGACCCACAAAGTCGGTGGAGAAAGAACACCAGTCCCCGGCTGTCACCTGCAGTTGCTTCAGTGCTCCCGGATGCTGCCTGTGGATTTAAATGCTCTCGGACCATCTTCTGGAGGGAGCGCATGAAGACAGAAATTAGCCTGTCGATGTAGCTTGGGTTGTTGCAACAGGCTGACTTGAGGATCATGAGTGTCCCTGTGGTGCAGGAATAGCATTTATTTTACAAAGAAGTGACAACTGTGCTGGGGAGCTAGCTCCATCAGTACAGTGCTTGTCTAGCAAGCCCAAGGACCCAAGTTTGGTACCCTAAAGCCAGAAATGGTGACAAACAATTGTAATCCCAGCATCGCAGAGGCTGAAGACAGGCAGTCACTCGTTCGTGCACACACACATGCGTGCACACACACATACACACGCGCACGCGTGTGCACACACACAAACATACACACAAAGTAACAATAAAATTAAGTAACAAAAGTGTGCTTAAGCGACCAACTCTGCTAGGCCTGTGAGCTCCTGCCTGCAGGACTATGTCCACATTGAGAAGCATGAACTGCCACCCTGAATCTTAACTTTGCTGACACTACCCTACAGAGCTGACATCTGTGCTTCAGTATAAAGTATTCTTCCCTTCAGTGTTGGACACATTATCCTCAGTAAAGCTTTTTATCCCATGATGTTTATTTAGGACAGGAAGAAAATTCTTAGGAAAAAAAAAAAAGTCTAGACTATCTGAACATGAAACCTTTTGGATTTTATTTCATGCTTCTATGAATGAAAATAAGGCTGGGCAGTGGTGACACACACCTTTAATTCCAGCACTCAGGAGGCAGAAGCAGGCGAATCTCTGAGTTAAGAGTCTTGCCTAGTCTACAAAGTAAGTTCCAGGATAGCCATAGTTACACAGAGAAACCTTGATTTATAAAGAAAAAAGGGAGGAAAAAACCCACCCCACCCCTAAAAAAAGAAAATTATGTATGTCAATCTATTAGTACTTATTACTAATGAATCAAGAGGCTTATAGGTAACTTTTATTTAGTTTAAATAAAATATTGATTTCCTCAAGTTTTACACAATGACAATATGATAGGGAAAAAAATTATGGTACCAATCCAATTCTAAGCTAAATGAGGATTGGAGTGATAAGGGGCAGGGAGTCTCAAAGTTGGACTTGTGGGTGTCTGGACAGTTACCCAGCTGCCCCGATTATCTAGGTCTGTCTCTCTCAGACAAGGACAAGTCTTGTGAATGGCTGACTGGCAAGTGGACACAGCCAGGAGTGTACACTGGGGCTGAGAAAAGACTTAGAGAAATCACGAGTGCTGGACACAATGCAGAACTCCAAAACAGCAAGTCAGCCCAAAGCCCCTCCCAGGCGCTCCCAAGACAGCTGTCCAGGGAGCAGGGACCACAGTCCACATGAACCACTGCTGGGCAAACCACACAGGCACTCACCAAAGAGCTGGGAGGGATTTGCGTTGGTGGCCTTCTCATAGTTGGTGAGTCCTTCGTAGATGACCTTCCCTACAGCTGCGTACAAGCATTCCAGCTCTTCGTACTTGGAGGCCACGCTCGAAGTGCCTGAAATGGAAGTGGGCAGGGAGCTGAGGTCAGGCCTTTCAGGCCACATAGCCCCCAAGATCAAGCTCTAGCAGGAGTGTGCAGCACAGTGCCTTTCCTTCCACCATGGGACATTGTGCACCTCATTGTCACACCAGTGAGGATAACTCTCATCCTGACAGCTCTAGTACCCTCAATCAGAACACACACAATTTTAAGTTGCCAATTGTTCAACGTTTGTTATTACACTTTAGCCTAACTTCTCTTAAATACCTGAAAAAAAAAATCCAGCAGATGAAGAAATGAAGTTCAAAACAGAAACAAAACAACACATTACCATTAAGTTTTCATGTCAAATGTTTTAAGAAGAAATTGAGAGGCTGGTGATGGTGGCACACGCCTTAAATCCCAGCACTCAGGAGGCAGAGGTAGGTGGGTCTCTGAAAGTTCAAGGCCAGCCAGCCTGAGCTACATAGTACACAGTCTCAAAAATAAAACAAAAAGTAATGTTGGGAGTTAAAACAAAAAACGAAAACAACGTTCACGAATGACTACAGGATGAGTACTCTCAAGCAACAGACCTGGGGCTGCCTGTCTCCTGCAAAGGAGAAGGGGCATGGGGGAAGGGTCACTTACTTGGCTCTGTAGGGAAAATGCTCATCAGGCGAGAGAGGAGGCTGTGGACGGCTCGCAGCACTTTGGTGTTCCCACATGTCATGCAAGCTGCGATGCCCCGCTGCAGCGGCTTGAAGCTACTGAGGATGGCTGGTGACTGTAGCACAGTTAGCAAGAAGTTCAGCACTTCCAATCCTGTACAGATATTGCCATAGTTCACCTGGTTCGGCTGCTCCTGCAATGGGAAAACAGGCCACTCTCAGGTGAAGTAAGTGGAGACACAAATCCACAAAGTCTTGAAACTGGATGTCATCAAGCATGTGGAACTTTGTAAAAAACCAATGAGAAATGAACATGGGTACCGCTGTCACAACATGTGGCCACCATGCACAGCAGGACTTTTATAAGACTGCGGCCCCTAGAATGTGATGTGAAAATTTAATTAAACCTTTTTAAGAGGCCATTAAGACATTAGTATTCAATATTAAATATCACTTAAGTCACTAAAATTTGGACTAAAATGGAAAGGTATTATAATGCAGAATGCTTCTGTTGGCCTACTTACTGAAAATACAAAAAACTGTCCCAAGAGGAATGCTTTCAAAACTGCATCATGTAAGCAATGTCATTAAAAATAAAAACTGTTTGTAGGAAGCATAGGCTTGGCTTCTGGAAACTTTCATTCCTCTGGCTTACACACATTACCATGTGTGTACAGCAGTGAGGTCAGGTCCCAGCAGTTACCTGGGAACATGGCAATAGTGTCTGGGAAGTGAGCTGTTTAACAGCTAGCCCACTGGCAGGAAAGATAGTCACTTTTTCAAAAGGGCAATGAGGACTCCAGGCCTTTGGTTTGCAGCATGAGGCCCTGTTAGCCTTTTAAACCTCAGATAGCAGTGTTTCAATTCTTTATGGACCCAAACAGCAGATATCTATGCTAGGCCTTTTAAGTACAAGAGTGAAAGTTTTCAAATTCCATCAAACAATTGTACAAAGGGAACCTGAGATGGCAATGACATGGACCAGGCTTTTGCTGCCATCAGAAAATCCAAGCATAAAGGTTTCCAAGTAAAGAAGCCACAGAGACAACCAGGAATGGAACCAATTCATCAGCTGCCTACGCTGAGCCTACTTAGGGCTTAGTTGATTGAGAAACTGCTTTACAAACCCTAGCTTATTACAAAGAGTATTATGTTAGTCAACTACAACAGTTTGTACCAAGCCAGCTAGGTCAATAAGTACATGCGAAGTGGGGGAGGGAGAAGAGGGGGAGGAGAGAAGAGAAGGAGGGAGGGGAGGAGGAAGGAAGGAAGGAAGGAAGGAAGGAAGGAAGGAAGGAAGGAAGGAGCATTTGAATTATGAAAGACACAGCCAGGCACTCAGGAGGCAGAGGCAGGTGGATCTCTGTGAGTTCGAGACTATCCTGGTCTACTAGAGCGGGTTACAGGACAGCTTCCAAAGCCACAGAGAAACCCTGTCTTGAACCCCCACCCCATCCTACCCTCCACCCTCCCATCACCCTCCCCCCAAAAAGAAAGAAATATGAAAGACACTATTGATCTAGTCTAATCTGGATTGACTGAGAACTGAAGGTCAAAGCCATGTTCATCGGGCCACAGACTGAGTGGAAGAGGTCACAGAGTGGGCACACATCGAAGCTTGAGTTTTAGACTCAGGCCCAGAAGAGAGATCCACACCAGAGCCAGGTGACAGCATTGACTGACAGCCCCCACACCTACCACAGTCATCAGCAGCTTGTCAAACCACTGCAGCTTGAGCTCTGACTTGCACCACATATCTGGCCGCAAAGCAGTCTTAGGAAGATTCACACAGCGACGAGAGAGCACCTCTCCAGGTGACCCTGCGGTGTTGGTGTTGTCGTTGACCTACAAAAATGCCAACTGGTTGGTCACTGAACACCAGCTTACAGGTACAGGAAAAGCAGTGACTGCTTCCCCAAATGTCCCCGCACCCATGCATCTTCCAACACCTGGCTTTCCTTCCCGATTTTGAGTCTCTGCACCCACACCCTCTCTGCAGCAGGTGTCTGCAGTAATTGAGAGCAGGGCCCTACTCTCCACAGAGGGATACCTGTACACAGAACCCCCTCACACTGCAAGGAAACAAGGGATCTTCTGGTTGGACAGCTCAGAAGTCTTCACAATTTGTAGCAATCTCTACCATTTCACAAAACACAGTATTTTGTTTGACAGTTGAGGACTAATTAATTTTTTGAGACTCTGTGTGTCTGGGTGTTTTGCCAGGATGTATGTCAGTCTACCATGTACATGCCTGGTGCCTGCAAAGGCCAAGAGAGAGGGGTTGAGTCCTCTGGAACTGGAGCTACAGATGGTGAGCCACAATGTGGGTGCTCGGAATCAAACCAGGTCCCATGGTGTAGACAGTGCTCTTAATTATTGAGCCATCTCTTCAGCACTGCCACCTCCAATTTTTTTCTAAGGAAAATCTCATTTACATTAGATTTTGGAAATAAAAATGACATGTTTCAGAAACAGATTCCCAGCAACTCTGTGAGAACATAAATACTGATATGATCAATGAGCCCAAGCTATAATCACTGCTATAATTGCAAGCTGCACAGATCCCTGCAGACGGGTCAACTCAATACCACAAGCTATGCACCACGTCCAACTTGATATAGCACAGAAAACAAGGAAGTGGACTAAGTGCCCAGATCCCTTAACTACACCAAGATGCTGCAAATTGTAAGATACGCTGGGCTGGGGTGGCTGGGCACTAAGGGTGCTTGCCACCAAACCTGAATTCCCATGTGATGGAAAGAGAACCGACTCCCACACATTGTCCTGTGACTTCTACATGACATATTAAATACATGATAATTTTCCCCCCAAATCATGCCATTATTTCATTAACACTAAAAGGAAAAATTGGGGGACAGACATGCCTACCAATAGAGGGACACAGGCAGCCAAGTGTGTCAGGCTTGCTTTTAGGCCGGGTCACAGACACCATGCTGCAGGGTCACTAGGCGGCTGCTATTACACAGTCCCATACCTGGCAAGCCACTCGGATGAGGAAGTTCACCACGGTGTCCGTGTGCTGCTTGTCAATGGGCTTGGCAAGAAGAGAGTCAGCTCCTGGCAATGACTGGCTCCTCCCGAACACCTAGGAAAGGACCGTCCAGTTAGTGGGAAGGGACCCACAGCAAGCATCTCCCATGGGTTGCTGTCTCATCCAGCCAGCTGACAAATACAGGCACTTCCCAGATTCTGGCATGAAGGAGGATCTCTGCTTTGTGAAGCATATAGTCCTGGCAGGGGCACATGACTTAACACACTAACTGGCAGTGAGGAGTGATGGCTCATGTGACAGACAACCAGAGGGAACATGGTCTTGAAAAGATGGGGAGTGCCTGAGAAGAAGCTGGTGACAAGGGGAGAAACTGACTCGGTAGAAACATTAGAGGCAGCAGACGGTGTAGAGGAGACTTGGAGTTTCTGTACTAGAGGAAGACCTGTGTGAGGGCACAGTGAAAGGAGATATGTGTGCCACCAGGAGGGCTCTGTCAAGGACCAGCAAGGCAGTCTGACTTCATTTTTAATTTTAAATGATCAAATATTCATGAGGCAGTTGCAAAAACAGTACAGAGGCAGGACACACCCTTTGCCTTGCTTCCCTCATGTAAGGTATAAGAAAGGTTTTTGGTATTCTGCTTTGTGAAGAGCATTATCAACAATGAGAGAAATGGAAGCAGCTGTCGGAAGAGGGAGGGAGCTGCAGAAACTAACTGATGGTATAGGTGATAGATGCTGGGGGAGAAGGAAACAGACAAGGCAGGAATGGGTCCAAGTTTCCACTTGGAGTCCTGGGCAGTTGTGGAAACACCTAAGCAGGTAGCCAGTAAGAGTTGGACCAAGTGGTGTCAGCCAGGCCAGTGCCCTAAGTCCGATGCCAGCCAAGAACAGAGCTCAAGGCTCCCAGGGCCATCATCCTAACCATGAGTAAAGGGACAATGCCCAAGACCCTCTAGGAGGCTGCTCTAAAAAAAAAAAAAAAAAAAAAGGGTGTGTGTGTCTTTTTGAAAATCAATAAAGTGATCAGGCAGTGGTGGCGCTCACCTTTAATCCCAGCACTTGGGCGGCAGAGACAGGCAGATCTCTGTGAGTTTAAGCCAGCCTGGTCTACAAAGCAAGTTCCAGGACAGCCAGGGATACACAAAGAAACTGTATCTTGAAAGCGGACATAGTAGACATATATTCTCAACATTTTCGCTTCAAAGAGTGTTGTTTTTAGGTTTTTAGTCTGCTATGAGCAGGATCAGGGCCTTACACATGCTGGGCAAGCTCTCTCTAGTCAGCCACACCTCCAGTCCTTCCCTGGGGGATTCTAGGCAGATGCTCTACTGCTGAACTCACCCCTAGCCCTACTGCTGGATTCTAAGCAAACACTCCATTACCAGCCCATGTTCACAGCCCCTCGCTGGTGGGAGGCTAGGCTATGCCACACCCTAGCTTCCTCTTGTGGACTTTATTGCAAATAACTAGCAGACCTCTGATGGTACTACTAACTCACTGAAGAGGAAAGTCAGGAAATGGGAAAAAACGTTCCATGAGTGCCATGCCTTGTTCCCAGCTGCATCTTGAGCAATTGGCCCAAGAATGCTCAAGATGCATAAAATATATACAGAGTCCCAGGAGGACAGCGGGTACACATGAGGAAAGCACAAGTTCTTACTGTACTGATGGTCCCGGTGGCTGCCCTGAAGCGTTTCACCTCCTGCGCAGAATCTACAGACAGTCCTCTCTTAATGGATGACACAGAGTTGATGCCCTCTCCACTGGAGTTCGGGTCCATGTCAGAATCCGGCTGGAAAAACACACAAACACACCAATTTTACTGCCTGACTCCCAAGAGATGTGTAAGGAGCCAGTGAGAGATGACAGCAGAGGCTGACAGTCCTACCTGCTGGTCCTTGATCCTCTGCAGTTCCCACTTGATGACGACCTCAGACAGGTCCACAGCCAGCCGCCTCTGCTCAATGGTGACACTGGGTGTGAAGCCCAGCCTCTGCATGGCACTGACCATGTGCTGTACCAAGTGGTGCCGCACCGGGTAGTACACCTGCAGACACAGGGGCCAACACCACCTTAGCTTATTATAGACAGAGTAGGGGCTCGAAGCCAGCATCTGAGACTGCACCACACACATCTGCTGTCCCTTTACATACTTTAAAGTGCTGCACTATGAGGTGAAGAATGTGCACTAGCTGTGGGACCGTGTGGCCTTCCTCCACGATGATCTTCCTGGTCCAGTGCGTCAGCATCTGGTGTCCGTCCTCCATGCGGGCTGGCACCGCTGGGGTCAAAATTGCCATTGCTTGTCTCACAATCGCTCGGGCTTCCATAGCATGAGCCTTGAGAAGACTGTGGAAAACCTAGGAAAACAAATGCCAGTTCCAGGAGATCTGATGCCCTCTTCTGTTCTCTATAAACATTGCACACACATGGTGTATGTGTGAATGTATGTACATGCATACATACGAAAACACATATGCATATATACCATGTACACACACACACACACAAACACACACGGACCTTACATACATACATTTTATATGTGCAAAAACACACACACACACACACACACACACACACACACACACACACACACACACACGTACATACATAATACATGCAGGCCAAACTCTCACTACATAAATGATTCTTAGGACTGTTTCACAGGAAGGTCAGAATTAGAAGCCCACAAGATGACTGAGCATATTAAGGGCCACACATGACCTGAGCTTAATCCCTAGAATCTACACAAAGTTCAAGAAATCAACTCACACGACGTTATTTTCTGACTGGCATGTGTGATGTAGCATGTAAGCACCCCCACCTTCATCTCCCTACCTTCATCTCCCCCTCTCCCCAACACACACACATAAACAACAAAGTAAAATAAACAAGTCAAAAGAATCAGGAAACTGAATGCACCAAACCAGGATGTCTGAGGGGAATGTGAGCCAGGATGTAAAGGAGCACGGGGCAGAGCAACCAGGGAGGAGCAAGCATCCCGGGATGGGTGTTCACACTATGGAATTTGTCTTTAGGTCCTCTCAGTTTTTCAATGTGTAAACACACACACCAACACTAACAGATTTTCAGTGTGATAAACTGGTTAGAAACACTGGAGATACTCCAGCACACCCTTGGATGTGCACTGTGCAGCCAGCTTCCCCATTCACCGCATTTTCTTCTCTCAAACTGAAGTTCTGTCCCTGTTCAATAGTGGCTTCCACTTGGTGGCAGAGGGGGGCTGAGGCAGGAGGATCACTGCAAGTTCCAGGACAGCTAGAGCTAGAAACTGTCCTCATGAACTCCATGGTTGTCCTCCTCATTTCCTGTCCTCCTCAATTATTTGTCTCTACAATTCTGATTATCCATTAAGAGAATCCAATAGTGATTGTTTTTGTAAGATGGGAATGGGTGCTTCCCCACCTTTTTTTCTTAGTGGCTTTGGGAAAAGACAATAGGAAGGGAGCAGATGAGGCTGTCCAGACAGCAAGGAGTACCCGTGAGGGAACAGATAAGAACATGAGAGACAGGAGGGAGCCCTGTGAGGCACCTGGAGGACGATTTTCTTATGTATGGCGAATTTGGCAATGATGTGTGCCAGCAGCAGGTGTCCGCTGTATTTGCAGGCGGGATCCACACAGGCCTTGGAGAGCAGACAGGGCCACGCAAAGGTCATCAGACGGCGCAGCTTACTGTTGCGGTTCTTGTTGTTGTCATGGATGTGGTGGGGGGCATGTTCCACCAGCAATGTGGCATACTGCAGGAGGTAGATACGCAGGGAATCCAGCATGTCTGCTTGTTTCTCAGGGTCCAGGACCTGACACCAAAGCAGGAACTCACTTTAGATTTTAATTAGGATCTTATACAAGTCTGGTCCTTAAAAATAAACCTTAAAAATATTCTTTGGGGGACTGGAGAGATGGCTCAATGGATAAAGACACCTACTGCCAAGGCTTATAACCTTGGTTCAAGTCTCATAAACCACAAATCAAACTCCCTCCAATTGTCCTCTGACTTCCATTTGTTTGTGCGCACACACGGACACACACAGGCACGGAAACATATGACACAGACAAACACACGCAAGGTGAGGGGAACCACAAGGAAAGTCTTATTCCCACAAAGCCCTACCACAGGCATACACATTCACCCATCTGCAAGGGCTCGCCACACAGAGGTGCTCCTGGGGACACCACCTTGGTTATAAACACACTGGTAATGCTCTCTGGGTTGTCTCCTTCTGGATTAGGAGGTCCTAAGAGCTGCTCTCCTTCCCCCTTCTCAAAGCTGTACAAGAAAGCAGGATTCAGGATGTGCTGCAGAACCTAGGGGAAGAAAAACATGAAGCAGAACAGAGCTGTGCAAACTTCTTTGGGGAGGTGGGGGTGGGGTGGGTAAAGCAGGAGCATCCTGCATCATCAAGGTAGGACTTGACCAAGACAGCAACTGTTCATCTTGACCTCCAGCCAAAGGGCAACTGCCAGAGGCAGCCTGAAACTTCAGGAAGAGTGCCAGCCTCAGCCTGGCTTTCTCTCCTCCCTTTAGACAAGTTATTTCTCAACACATGGAAAGGTTCATGGCAGGACCTGCCCTGTGTTCTTCAGCAAGACCACTCAGTCAGGCCCACTACATGAGCATCTGCAGAGCTGCAGCTCGTCAGGAAGAGATCCCAGCATCTGCTGCCACCTCCTGTGAACAACTGGACTCACCTTTGCTTTCAGTTCATCTCCAAAGTTGGGGTCATTAAACTCTACAAAGCGGAAAAAGAGAGCTCGCTTTTGAGCGATGCTGTAATTTTTGGGGATTTCCTCTTCCATATATTCTTTCAAGAAGGTCATGTTGCAGAGGAAGCGACCAGTGAAGGCTCGGAGTAGCTGGAACAGCAGCTCTATGTCTCCATAGTTCCTTCTGAAGGGCCAGGACAAAGAAGAGGTTAACTTAAGGCTAATTCTATAACTATACAGAACCCAGATTTGCGCCTTTTCCCATTCTTTTTCCATTTTCACCTGTGTGGCATGCATGTGTGTATGCATGATTTTACATGTGTATAGGAGGCCCAAGGTTGATGTCTGGAGTCATCTTAGATTGCTCTTCTACTTTATTAGTTGAGACAGTCTTTCTCAATCAAACCCAGAACTCACTGATTAGTGCTAATTTTGCCCTGAGGTTCCTATCTCTGCTCTCTGCCTTCTAAGGCTGGAATTACAGGCAGGGTGTCACACCCATCTGACTTTTCTATAGGTTTCTGGGGATCTGAACTCAGGTCCTCATGGGTGCAAAGCACTAAATTTCCCCCCTCAGACTCCTGACTCACATTTTAAAGATTTGAGTTACCACCTACCCTCTAACAAATCTGACCATACAACCCAAGGATCAGATACATCAGGGACAAGGCCACAGTCTAGGTTTTTGGACAGAAGAAACCAATGCACCCACTTGCAATAGTTCAGCAGACAGAAGGCCAGAAGCTTGGGCTCCTTCCAGTTGGTGGCAGCCATGTTCTCTTTGCGGTGTCTTTCTTGAAAAGTCTCACTTACCCACACTCGCCTCAACTGGCTCACCAGAGAGTGCTGATTGGCCAGCCAGGCATCATCGTTTTTAACTATGATGCTTATGATCTGTAAGAAAACAGGCAATCATCAGGGACCTGCAGCTCACCCTGACCAAAGGCTCTGGGTTCTACTGAAGATGTGCTACCTTGATGGCCTGGAACTGGAGGTCCAGGCGCATGTTACTGGTGCTGGGTGAGCCAGGGCGGACTGCCGTCTGTGCTCCACCAGGAAGCAGCAGGGTGATGAACCTGTTGGGGTTTGCTGCCAACACATCCCTCAGAGGTCTGGCGTCTTTGTGTTTTAAGAAACTCTGAAAGCAAAAGAATGAAGAAAGCTGCTTGGATCAGATCAAACTCACAAAGGTGGGAGGACACAATTCTACCATTCCTGGTCATTTCTTCACGAAGGCAAACAAAAAATGCGGCAAGCACCTTTTTAGAAAAGCTGTTGCTGGCTGGGAGTGGTTGCACTCACCTTTAATCCCAGTACTTGGGAGTCAGTGAACAGCCAGTCCCAGGCCAGCCAGGGCTACAAAGAGAACTACCCCTACAAAATATTAAAAAAGTAAAAAGGTACTGGCCTGGAGAGATGGCTCAGCAGTTAAAAGCACTTCTGCTCTTCCTTCCAGAGGTCCCAAGTTCAAATCCCAGCACCCACATGGTGGCTCACAAACTACACTATAACTGTAGTCCCATGAGATCCAAAGCCCTTTTCTGGTGGGCAGATGTACAAGCAGTCAAAGCATCCACATGCATACAATACACATATAAAAAAATCTTTAAAAAAGTAAAGATGTTTTCAGAACCAACAAGTCAGCTCAGCAGGTAAAGATCCTGGGACTGAGCCCGATAACCTGAGTTTGACTCCTGGGACCCACGTGGTAGATGGGGACATGCAATTCCTGAAAGCTATCTTTTTCTGACCTTTATACATGCTCTGTGGCATAAACACATGCATAAACAAACACAATAAGAAAAAAGTGGTGTTTTCCAACAGCAATCCTATTTTTGTTGTAAATTTATAATCCTAAAAGAATTTATATTCTTTTGTTACAACCACCAAAATCCTCCCAACTCACTCCTGGGTTGCAGCTTTGCAGATGTGATCAAACAGCTATGATGCTCCTGACATGCAGACCTCTGAGAAACATAAAGCCAGGGCGACTCTCTCACTCAGTGACATGTGTGTCTGTAAGGGGCTGAGCGCACCGGCTGACAGCACTCCGCAAGGACCCGCTACAGTCGTATGGTTCCTACCATGAACATTCGGCTCCACTGGGGGTCATTCAACGTTGCTTCCATCATGAAGAGCTCCACTGTCTGCGAGGGATGTCGTGTCAGAAACTTGATAAGAGGCTCCCTGAATGGACTGCCCGCCTACAAAACATAGGGCAAAAATGCAACCAACACAATCCTTCTCAAAGGCCTTCCAGTTGTCACCATGATAATAACACAACCCCTTCAACTACACCATAATTAAGTTATCAATGCCAATATCCATATACTGACAAATTTTCTCATTTAAAGCATTTTAACAAAATGAGTCAGGCACAGCAGAACACTTCTGTCGTCCCAGCACTTGGGAGGCTAAGTGCAGAGGACGGCTTCAAGTTTAAGTCTAGCCTGGGATACTTGGCAAGACTTGCAAACTGTTGTCTGTCCTCCACATTTGCACTGTGGTATGTATATGCCTGCAAAACACACAAACAGGTAAGGAAACAAAAGATACTTTCCAATAATAGTTGTTTTGTTTTATGTTAAAAAAAAAAAAAAAGACCCTGTCAATCACAAAGCCAGACAAAGGCTTCTTTCAGCCTTAATCGGAGAAGCTTCTCTTTATATCTAACAAGAGTGATGCAGAGCCTCGGGCAGCTCAAGGTGCTGAGAATTAGAATAGATGAGTGCCCAGTCCTAACAAGGCATTCTCACCACCACCACCACCAAGGTGCAGAGGTGGTTATGAAATTAGAAACAGACAAAAACATAAAAGTCAGAAACACGGAGATGGATATGGCACAGCCAATGTGGTGATAATCTCACAGGGGCTAAGGCTGCACAAGCCTGGCCTGTCAGCAGCCAGTCATGGATGCAATTGTAGCTCACGGGGCCCAACTCTCTCTGAAGGACTATTAGCTACTGATGGATTCTGGGAAATGGGGGCATCATTTCATCACGACTGAAATAACTGGTGAGCCCACTAGGCTCATGCCTGTGGTCACTAGGCGGGTCCTGGTTAAACAGGTCACAAAGCAGTTATCCCAAAAAAAAAAAAAAAAAAAAAAAAAAAAAAAAAAAAAGGAGCGCATCGCAGAAAGGGACTGTAGGTGGGGGGAGGAGGACTACCAGTAGTGGGAGGGAGGTAAGAAAGGGCACCAGTGAAACTAATCATAAAGAACTGTATGCATATGTATGAAACTGTCAACTGAAAAAACCCACCAAAAATAACTAAATAAAACAGTTTTCAGCCACACAGCCACTGGAATGTTTGCCCATGCTCCAGTTCACACAGGGACTCATGTTACCAAGATTATGAAGGTGGTCTAGGCAAACTCAGTGGGTCCCCAAACACAACCCAACAGAAGGACAACACAACAAAAATACATGAAATTGGAGTGGCTGGAAGGGGGTACATATGATCAGAATGTATTATACATGGTATAAAATTGTCAAGTGAATATATTTAAAAATAAATAACGAAATAAAAATACTCCAAGCAATAGACAGAAGTAAATCAGAATTAACCCTCAGTCTGACCATACCTCAATTAGCATGGCGCGCTCTGTCTTCATCACGACCTCCAGCAAAGGCTTGACCAGTGTTTGAGGTGCAGCTGGGATCAGATGGAAAAGGTTTATAATCGCCGAGCAAATCTTCATCTCCTAATAAAGAAAGCCAGAAACCACAAACAAGCCCATTAGTTCTATGAAGGGGGGAGAGTGATCACTACAGACCCTACTACCATCTAGCTACATTCACAAGGCTGGCCACCAAAGCAAAGTTAACATGGAAAAGCCACAACTTACCAGACTACATCACAGCATTGTTTTGTCCTGAGAAAACTCACTGCCCTCCCTCGACCTTCAGCTCATCTGTCTCTGGGGAATAGGGCTCAGTGTGCCTGATGTGTTTACTATGCCTTTTGTTTTCAGGCCATTGACACCTGTGTCACCTAGCTAGTCCTTTTCATGGAGGCAGAGACCATCAGTCACACCTGGGGTGTGAGAGTGCCACCCATGGCATCATGTGGACTTCTAAGACTTCAAGTTCTGAGAGCACAGAATCTTTCTGCCCTCAAAACCTAGCCAAGAAGTTAAAAAAAAAAAAAAAAAAGTTTATCCAGAAACTAAACACCAGTGTGAGGAATGACTGGGATTGGGGCTGAGCATCTGTCAGTCAGGCTGGAGACAGCTGACAATAGGCCATGCTGAGTCCTGTTAGTGTGGGGGGACTGCTGAGCTCTGTACTACACCATATGCAGACCACTCGGTGCTAGGCTGCTCTGAGGGTCATCCTGACACCCCAGTCTCGGGTCAGGTGTCCTTCTGCTGTGAAGGGACATTTTTCCCTGGCCACTGGGCAGGGAAGAGCCAAGAGGCACCACCATGTACCATGTGCGAGTTGTGTCTGCGGCTCTTAGGGATAAAATGACAGGCACTGGCCAACAGGAGCCTGACGCCAGGATGAGATGGCGCTAATGAAAGTAGGAACCCAGCTATAAATAAACTGCTCAGTATCACCTCATCCCACCTTACATTTAGGTCTTTAAAGAGAGCAAATTTTCTCCTGGAGTTAGATTTTAAAAAATGGTAATTTATGCCATAGTTTCTTTTTTTTTTTAAAAGCAGAAATACTGAAAAATTCTCCTTTGCTTTCTGTAAGCCTGCCAGAGGCGCTATCATCCCCATTTTACAGAGGAGAGGAAGCTCAGCTTGGCTGTCCAAAGGCACAGTGCTGGTAACTGGATCAGAGTGTGTGGGAGGGCATGCATGAGAGCAGGGTGGGTGTGTGTGTGTGTGTGTGTGTGTGTGTGTGTGTGTGTGTGTGTGTTGGGCAAACAGTTTCTATCCAGTCTGAGGAACTGGTGAATTGTCAGTGTGACAGAGGGTGTAACCATTCCCAACTTGTAGCAGGCCTGGATATGCTGTGAGGATTTTCTTCTCAGGAGGCTGCTGGAGGCTTGTGCTTGTCATGAAAGCTAGGACAGGGGAGTCTGTTCAGTCTTAGCTAGCACTAGAAGACTGCAATTCTGACACAGAAAACACAAGAGCTTAGGATCTGGCTTAAACGTCCTATAGAGAAGAACATGCTTGGCATCCGGACAGTTCACAGCAATACTACGACAGCTCCGCCACAGACAAGACAATACAAGTCACCGCACTCAAGGGCACAAGGCACTCTGTCCACTACAGGATCACAACACAGCTAACGAAGTCACAGCAAAACCAAATGCGACAACAACCCCCTCCTGCAGCTGCACTGCAGTTCTCACCTCTACCCCTTCCATGGCAGGCTGAACCAAAACAAAAGTCACAGCATGAAAAAACGGGCAACCAAACGGTAAGGAGAAAAAAGAAAAAGGAAAAATCAAGTGTTCTTCACATTGCAAGTCATAACTGACTTAGATAAGGTTGCTCTCACCTCAAACTGACAGAATGGAGACAAGGAACACCTCCCGCACTCTGAAATGCTCTCCTGAAGATGGGGAGGAAAATCATCTTTTTCTATTGATGTCATTGACAGAGACACTTCCCACATACTCAAACACAGGCAGGGTTATTGGGGTTAACAAGACAGTACAGGCACGGTAATCAGAAAGCACACAGTAGTTAGAGGCACTCTGAAGCAGAACACGCCTTCCACCCTCACATGTCAACAGCCCTCGAACAGGGTCGAATAGACTGCCGTTCTTTTCTAAGTCAAAAATTAAAACCATAGTTTCAGAATTCTTGTGCAAGGAAGAAATGGTAAGACTTTGTTGTATGCAAATGTGTTTTAAAAAGACTTCTTTCTCAGATTTTATGTCAAGTGCTGAAACAGTTTTAAAAATAAGGACAAAATTCTTTCCCAGCTTGGCAGGAGAGAACTAGGCAGTGCAGCCTCATTCACCAGGCATGTCTAAGTCCCCAACCCATGAAGAACACTTGGCTGTTGGTGCAACCACCTCCACCCCAGAGCCTTAACTGTCAACTTGAGACAGCTTAGTGTCTCCACTGAGGGACTGCCCACATCAGTCTAGCCTGTGGGCATATCTGCGGGGAACTGCTTTGACTAATTGGTACAGGAGTGCACAGCCCACTGTGGGTGGCATGCACAGCCCACTGTGGGTGGCATCATGAGAGCTGGCTAAGCCATGAGTGTGTGAACAAGCCAGCAAGTGTTGTTCTTCCACGGTTTCTGCTTCAAGTCCTTGCCCTGACTTTCCTTAGTGATAGGTAAGCTATAATCTAAAATAAATCCTCCCTTCCCTAACCTGTGTTTGGTCGGAGTTTTCTCACAGCAACAGAGAAAAAAAACTAGAATGTCCCCAGAGGTGGGTTATGTGGTCAAGTAGTCTCTATAAAACCAAAACTGTGCAAGTGTGCACAGGTGTCACACATGGTCCTGTAAAGGCTCAGTTTCAGAGAAGGTCACCCAGACATGGAAGCTGCCCAAAGCTTAATTATCAGAGAAATCAAATTACGGAGGAGCTCGTGTTTATCTTCTAATCAGCTATGCATGTATTCAAATATGACATCTCAACTAAGTGCTCAAGAGCTGAGCAGTGGCCTGGCCCTGGGAGGAAATGATAAAGCCATGGTCACCGGCTCTGCTGTGGAATCCAACACTGTGGCCCGAGTTTAGGAAATGGCCATCAGTGTAGAGCCTGCTCTACCCTGCTGTTCACCTAGGGCACTCACTGTACAAGGATACCATCCCATGCATGGGACATGTCTGCACCCCTGCCTTCTCAGTCCACACCTCCAAATAATGGGTTCTACAGAAGTTCACAGTATTGTTTTAACTCAATAGAAGTCATTTACTTACACATTAGATTTCTGGCTTTTTTTGATCTTAAAGCATTTTTTTTAGCACATTCATTTATTGGATGCAGACACACACCAGGGGACATTGTGGAGGTAAAAAGACAACTTTTACAGGGCATCAGTCCCTTCCACCATGTGAGTCTCAAGACAGAATTCAGGTTGTCAGGCTTTGTGACTAGAGCCTTTAACCAGATAAGCTATCTCATGGGCCCTCTGGTTTTTGGAGAGTTAATTTAAATGTTTACCCTAGAACTGACAACACGTTTTAAAGATCCAGTTTATTTTTCTAAGGTCTGTATGGGCATCTGAGAGATGATACAGAAGAACACGCAGAGGGCTGGTGGCATCCACCCTCAGGTCTCGGGCTCTATCAGCTCTTTCTACTCTGCTCTCTTCCACACCTTATCTGACTTTTAATATATAAGAAATCTTCCCAATGGCCTTACAGGAAAGGGTTAAAACCCTGGTTGACATCTGCTTAGCTGGCACCTTAGAAGGAGAAGAAACAGGACACAGAAACAAAACACTTAGAATGCAGGACATTCAAAACAAATGGCACAGTAAAGCTAAAAAAAATTTTTTTTCCCCAAGTTGGAATGAGGCAACACATCCAACTAGGAAGCACAAGGGGACAAGAACTATGCCGAGTGGAGTTCTGGAACTGGGGACACTACTATAAAACGTCCCATCAGTATCAAACTTTAGAGAAAATATTGTAAAAATTAGCATATACAATTTTAGAGTCAAAACAGCAAGAAGCTGGCGTTTTTGAGAGGCGAGAGGCTTTCAGGACAGACATCAGATACTTAAGACTTAGTTGTATTAGTGTCCCCAAGAAATGATGTAAATTTGCTGTGTGTCCTAGTCATTTAATTTTCAATGAACAACTGAGGTGCGAGGAGGCTGTTCCTAGAAAACACCCATGCTGGTATTTATGGAACGCTTCATTAAGTCCCAACGAATCTCTTGGTTTTTATCTGCAATTAGTTAGACACAAGGAAGTGATTACCAACTACTGAGCGAAGGAAAGCGATGGAAACGAAAACTGGAACAGAAGGACCACCATATAACAAACAATATAGAAGATACACTGCTTAAAAAAAAAAAAAAAAAAAAAAGACCAGTAAAGTGGAAACGCATTTCGTACTTCTGGAATGCTTGTCAACAGAAAAGTCACATTAAAGTGAGCAAAAGGGAGATTGCAAAGAGACACGGAGATTGTTCAGCCATTAGGAGCAATAAAGCACATTGCACATAGACTGTGATCACGACGTCTCGAGTGCATCACAGGTAATTGCCAACACCAGCTGTGCATCGTGGACACCCTCCCAGAAACAAGCTAGTCACTCACATTTCCGTCACTTCTCTGGCCCCCTTTGTGGGTGATGACCACCACTTCCATCCACTTGCGCAGATGTTGCTGTTGAAGAGAGAGAAAAAGACATTCTCAGACACAACTTCATGAGAAATACTGACCTTCAGCAGAAATCTGCAGTCATTTGATTTCCCTTGTACTTAACAGGACCACAGCACTCCCATTACAGAAATAGTCTAATTATCTGGCAAGAGATGTGACCCGTGTGGGGTCTTATACTATGACAAAAGGCTGAGCTTCAGCAGGAGGCACCTGACCTGGGCACCACAGTTCCAGCCCATCACTTCCCTTCCTTTCCAGTTACCAACCTGCCCTCTGGATTCTGTGCCACATTGGGGTGGAAGCAGAGGTCAAGAGAGACTCTATCTGGGCCAGGAGCTTTAAGGTGCATGCTATGTACAGGATGTGTACTCAGTGGGGGTGGAGATGAGGGACTCTTGTCTAAGAAGGGACTGGACAGACAGTATGCTCTAGGAAGATAAACACCAAGGGTTCTAGCAGCTACTGTGGCTGAAGGGAACCTGGGGAGCTAGGGAGTGGGGGGCTGGTGAGATAAACATGGATTCCTTTTGATCAGAGGCTGGACAAAGTTCTCCATCTGGGTATCTGCTAATGAGGCCTTGTGAAGATCAGTAACACCACACAGAAACCTCTGAGCAACAATAAAAAATAATGGTGGGCAAAGCATGTAGGTGATTGAAAAAACTGTCACATGTCCTACCATAAATGCAAAATACCCAGAAGGACACACAGGCTGCCTTCAGCAGGAGGTGACAGGGATGGGAAAGAAACTGACTATTTTTACATTTTTTGGAACTTTTGTTGTTTTGTTGTTGTTGTTGTTTTGAGACAGAGTCTCACTGTATAGCCCTGGCTGGCCTGGAACTCACTGCATAGACCAGGTTGGCCTCAAGCTCACACAGCAATCCACCCAACTGTCTCCCAAGAGTGGGATTAAACAAAGGAGTGTGCCACCATACCCAGCCACCTTCTGTATTCTAAACAGTATGAATGTTGTTTCTTTCTCAAAGTCATTTATTCAGTGCATTATGGAATAAGTTTAAACCCATTTAGCTTACTTACCATCATCTGATCGCAAAACTTGTCATTGAAGGAATTGGGGAAGAGCCGAGTAACAGAGGTCAGCCGATTCACGACGTTCAGGGTCAAGCTCCGATAATCTCCCAGCATCATCAGCAAAGGCCGCATGTGTGTATGAATCTGATCTACTTCTATGGTGGCACCTTCCAAAAACTAGTCAAAAAGGAAAGTTACCCAGAGAAACGGGCGGCAGACAAAGTAACAGAATGAATCAACTCCAACAGGGAATGTCAGTTTGTCCTTGGGAAAAGGGAGCATTCATTTTAGGTTTCCCAGGAAAGATTAACGGATTGAAGTTCGGCCTTACTGTGTTTCAAGATTTATTATGACATGAGCAGAGATGCTGCAGCTCCATGCATGCTGACCAGACAGGCCCAAGGATTCCAGGTGTGGTTCACACACTCACCTTCCTCATGCAGGCTTCTCCGGCCTCCTGCAGCTCACTGTTGGTGGAATTGAGGGCTTTGAAGAGCGCAGCGATGATTTTCTCTCTGGACTGAGGTAGGTAATTGCAGGCAGCAAGGGCATCTTAGGAGAGAAAAATGAGTACAGTTTAATATTCACCCAAGAAACAATTCAGTAACTTTCTCTTCTAAAGGATCCTACCAGTCACAAACCACTAGCCCTTCCTTTTGTTAGCTGGTATGAGAAAGATGAAAGAGCTGGGTTTGGTTAATCCTGGCGCTTAGAGGCCGAGGCAGGCCATCTGCATTCAAGGCTAGCCTGGTCTACAGAGCAAGTTCGAGGAAAGCCAAGACTACACAGAGAAACCCTGTCTCAAAAAAATAAAGACAAAAGAATATGTAATCTTCCAACAAAGTGGTCCATGGGGCACTTTTTTGGTTAATGATTAAGTTGAGGGGCTCAGCCCACTGTAGGTGATGCCACCCATGGGCAGGTAGCCTTGGGGTGTAACAGAAAGCAGGCTGAGCAAGCCATGGGGAGCAAGGCAATAAGCAGCACCCCTCCATGGTTTCTGCTTCAGTTCTTTGCCTTCGGCTTCCCTTCATGATGGACTATAAACTGTAAGATGAAATAAACTCTTTTTTCCCCAAGTTGCTTTTGGCCATCTTTTAAAAAATAATTATTTATTTTTACTTTATGTGCATTGGTGTTTTGCCTGCATGTATGTCTATATGTGAGGCTATCAGATCTTGGAGTCACAGACAATTGTGAGCTTCCATATGAGTGCTGGGAAGTGAACCCAGGTCCTCTGGAAGAGCAGTCAGTGCTCTTATCACCGAGCCATCTCTCAAGCCCCTTGGCCATGTTCTGTATGACAGCAACAGAAACTTAACTAGGACAAGGATTAATTAACTCTGATCTAGCATATTTCCCTAAACAATGAAAGCTAATTTGTGGTGAAAACTGAGAGATAAGAGGATTTAAAGACTATTTCAGTCATGAAGACTCTAAAGGGGGTGGGAGGGAGAGTTCAGTTGCTAATGTGCACACTGCTCTCAGAAAGGACCCAGTTCCTAGAACCCATGTAGGCAGGTCACAAGCTCCTGAGATTCTAGCTCTAGGGGATTGAACACCCTGTTCTAGTCTCAAACTGCACACATAAATGCACACTAATGAAAATAAATACAAAAAAAAAAAAAAAAGGCCAGGTGGTGATAGTGAACACTTTTAAGCCCAGCACTTGAGAGGCAGAGACAGGTGGATCTCTGTGAGTTCCAGGACAGCCAGGGCTACAGAATAAAAACCCTGTCTTAGGAGGGTGGTGGGGGAATTGGGCTCCGAGGCTGATGGAAATGGCACTATATGTAGGTATGACAGTTCTCTTAAACGAGAACATCTGATTCAAGAAATTCACAGAATAAGTTAAGGGTTTAATGCAGAACAAAAGCCAATTTATTAAAGACAAAACTACTTAAATCCTAACAATGGTGGTACAACTTGACAAACAACACAATTTCTGATTCTGTCTTTAAAAGACCATACAAAATTAGACATTTTAGATTAACTTACATTGAAGCCTGCCACATCCAGTGTATGACCATTCTAGGTGACACAGCTTTACCTATGTGGAAGCCTGCCACATCCTTTGTATGACCATTCTACTCAATACAGCTCTAACTATGTGGAAACCTGCCATATCCAGTGTACAACCATTCTACGCGATACAGCTTGATTCTCACTGGTATGCACTTACTTAATGCTGCAATCCGTAAAGGCACAAGTGACGGAAGGCTTTTGTAACAGGGCAGTTTGGTCAGAGCCGAATCCTCTGCCTCACACAAATTCAGCAGCTGGCAGAGAAAAAAGAAGCTTTTATTTTATCCCACTTCTCCTGGGGGAACAGAAAGATTACAGGTTACACACAACATCAATTTATCATAAACACTGCAACAAAATTAATCCAGAAACTCAACTCAAAGCCTAAAGAATTTCAACAATCAACTGAGGCCCTGCTTCCTTACCCTAAAGTAAAACTCAGTTAAAGCCACCCTAGATCACACCTGACTTACCGTGACACTGTCAGTTTTCTGTCAATCCTATAATAGTCAGTGGGCTTCCCTCTTGTTCAGTGCTCCCCCAGGGATGGTTAGACAGACAGGCCACAGGCCACATAGTGTCACAGTTCTTATGACAATTACTTTTAATTATCAAATTGGGAAGAGTCTCAATGGAGCAGGCCTGTGGGGGACTGCCTGATTATGTTAATTAACATTAAGAAGCTTTAGCCAGAACAAGGCTACACTAATCCCTAGGTGCATGCATTTTTCTCTGCTGTCTGTGGATGTGACATGACTATTCGAAGTTCCTGTCCACACCTCCACAGTGATAGACTAATGGGTTCTGTGAGTTAAAAACCCTTTTCCAGGCTGGGCAGTGGTGGCACACACCTTTAATCCCAGCACTCGGAGTCAGAGGCAGGTGGATCTCTGTGAGTTCGAGACCAGCCTGGTCTATAAAGCAAGTCCAGGACAGCCAGGACTATTACCCAGAGAAACTGTGTCTCAAAAACAAAAAACAAAAAAAATTTCCCTCTTACGTTGTTCTTCGCCAATGTTATTTTTATTACTACAACAGTACAAGAAAGGATATAGGGGGACACTAATGGCCACTGGGAAGCCCACCAGCTACAAATCCACACTAGTGGCACACAGGCACTTATGTGTCTAGTATCTAAAACATCACATGCTTTTTCGATTAATATTTCCCCCTTCTCCCTACTCATTCCTTGGAAAACTAGCTTTTAAGTTTTACCATTTCTTTTAAAGATTTATTTTACTTTTTTATGTGTATGAGGGTTTGCCTGAATGTACGTTTGTGTACCACATGTGTGTCTGGTGCCCAAGGAGGCTAGAATAGAGTTGTATCCCCTGAAGGTGGAGTTTCTGACAGTTGTGAGCTGTCATGTGGCACACGTGCGCACACATACACACACAATAGTAAGTAATATATTTAAAATCAAGTTGGAATATAACCTGTGTATGCTAATCCAGAGCAAGGCAACTCTGGGATGATACCTCTCTGGGTACCACATTTCTTGGATCCCAGGAGCGACACACCTGCTCTAGGTGCTGTGCCAGGCTATAGCTGGGTATCTCTGCAGCTGCCAGGTCTTTTCTGAAAGCTGCCCAACCTCAAGCACAGGCCAGCCATCAGTCATCAGCATCACACCCTCATACACCATACCTCTGTGTAGAACACCTTGTGCTCCACCACGTTGAGATCCATCGTGAAGAGCCGAGGCTGCAGCGTGGTACAGAACGTGTTGCCCTCCATCAGACCGATCTGTGCATTGGCAGGCTGGTGACGCAACAGGTGCTTCTTCGGTGGGACCATGTCCTGAAGGACCTGGAGAAAACCAAGGAGGGATGCCATTCGTCAGATGCCCCTCAAAAAACAAAGACCTCTCGTCTTCATATTCCATAGTTGCCAATTTGAAAACCATGACAGGAAGTCATTACAGAGGCCTACACTTTCATCATGGGGAGGACACATCATGTTAGAACTCCAGTATAGCCCATATCAGATACACTTAGCTCCTCATACTCGAGTGACCTCACAAAGACAACACGAGTCCCACAGGCTGACACACACCCCCAGGATACCAGCCTTCTTTCTATCCTTCCTAACAAGTGTGGACACAGACAGCTATCTGCATATCAAAGGTTCCAGAGAATACATGCAAGGGCCCATTTACACAGAATCATGAACCGAATGGCACTTGTGGCTTGGATGTGAGGCACACTGAGCCCTGCTGTCCATGTCACAATCTTACCTCTTTATGCGGTTCCATAATCACCGTCACACTTTTGCCAGTGACCTGGGCCAGGACTTGCAGCGAATGCATGGCTTGCTTTCTCACAGTTGAGTTTGGAGAGGTGACTTCACGAACCAAATCGTGGGTCACATGGTGAAAAGATTTCTCCTGAGCCACCACAATCTCTTCAGCTCTTTCCTCATCTTTTAGAGGCGTTGCACACCTCATCAGGAGCTGTTCCAGGGTGGTCTTCGCCATGGCTACTGCCCCATTGGAAACCTGGAGGTAGGAGAGGCCTTAGAAGGAATGCAGGGTGATGCCACCGTCCAGACTCCCAAATCTACATACACTAGGGAGAATGGAGCTCATGGCCTCTCTGCCAGCATCAAGGAGAAAGACCACTCACTATACAGCATCCATTTGGCACATTAGGGTCAAAATTACCTCCTTGTAGGTCCTTCCTGTTGGCCCTTCAAAAAGGTCATCTAGCCATGACCCTGGCATTAACCAGAGATCCTGGCAAGCCCACCACATTCTACTAGGGTGAGTCAGATATGCACATGGGTTCATGAATAATGGATGACATGCCTGGGACTGGCTATAAGGACCAGAGGGTAGAGAACTAACTCTCATAAGCTGTCCTCTGCCCTCCACACTCAGCAGGTTCCCATCCAATAAAATATGTAATCAAGAACTAAGAAACAAGAAAGACAATGTCATGCCTGTGGAGACCTTTGTGGTACCCAGAAAGCAGCATTCTCTGCAGATCTGCTCTGAACTAGGTAACAGGGAAGGTACCTAGAGATAAAAATAGATTCTGCAGATCTGCTCTGAACTAGGTAACAGGGAAGGTACCTAGAGATAAAGTGTGACTTAGGAGCTGTCCCTGTATTAGAGATGCTATAATGTATCAAAGTCCTTTAGAGCTGTGCTGCTTCTGAGCCTCGGGGGTCACCCACAACCCACCTCTCCAGTCAGGTCCATCATAACAAAGAGCAAAGCTTTGAGGAATGTCTGCTGGTTCTGGAGAACCCATGTGAGTGGAAGCCGCTCCATGAGAAACTTAATGGACACCACACCCCCCAGCTTCGCATACCAGGCCTGCTCATAGCAGCAGGCGCACAAGCGTTCCACGATGTAGGAGAAGAGGGGCAGCTGGCATGCCTGCAGAGAAACAAGCCAAGAATTAGGTGCCGCCGCCATCCCGAAGCCACCAGCTTCTACAATAAGCACCTTCAAACTCAGAGGACACTGTCCAGATGTCCTTACCCTCTCCTTTGAGCCCAGGATGATGCTTGCCACATCGAATATCACAGCTAAGGCCACCTCTCCAATTTTGCACAGTTCCTTTTCTTCATAAGCCATACAGATAGCTATTGCATCAATAAGGACCAAGGGATCCATTCCTTTGGACCCGTTCTCTTCACTGTGGAACATGGCTGTGCTGGGCTGGCTGCCCACCTGGTAGCAAGGTAGCAAGAAAGGACCTGGAAAGAGAGGGAGCAGGCACACAAAGTAGAGGTCATTCACGGGGACACGCTTGACTTCCAATTACAAATCAGCTTCATTTTCCCCTATGGTTTAGGACTCACTGAAGCCAGCACTGATAGTCTGATTACATTTTATTATTCTGTACATGTGTAGATTAGATGTGGGCATGCATGTGCCATGGTCCACATGCAATGGCACACATGCAGAGATAAGAGAACAAACTGCAAGAGCTGGTTCTTTCTTCTACTTGTGGATTCTAAGATTGAACTCAGATCCTCAGGCTTGGCAGCAAACATCCTTGAGTGAGCCATCTCACTAGCCCCAGAACTAGTATTTCAAACCAACCTCCATTAAACTGCAATTGTTTGAAAATCAAGTAGTCTATTTCACATTAAGGCTGTTTTTTCCTGAATGTACCACTATTCAATTACTTCACTCAAAATTCAAACATGAGGCTGGGCATACGGTTAATTTAGCAGCATGCTTGCAACAGCACTCACAGGGCCCTAGCGTTCATAAACCAGACTTGCCAATACATAGCTGTATTCTCAGAACTCTACAAATAGAAGCATGGGAAGCCCAAAGTTCTACTCGGCTAGGTAGGTGCTAGGTTCTTTAAAAGAAAAAAACAGGTGAGAGTCAGCTAGTTGGCTGTGCAGGTAAAAGCACAGGCCACATAAGCCTAATGAGTTTAACCCAACTCCCAGGGCTTAATGGAAAGACAGAATCGACCCCAGGGAGCTATCCTATGACCCCCACGAGCTCACTATGGCACTAAATGCTTGCACACATACACAAATACAGCAGTAATAAATATTTAAAAACCCAAAGATGTGCTTGTTTAAAATGAGAACAATTAAGTATCTTTTAAAACACCATTGATTAGCTATAGACTGGGAATGACAGGTGTTAGTATTCAGGCATCTATACTGGGCTGCCCTTGGGGTTCTGACAGGATACACCCTCAGCTGCAGCCACTAAGAGCACCAGCTGTGCACATTCACTATGTTCCCTTTTAAAGGGCCCTGCCCTGCCCACCTCTCATCTTCCCCTTTCTCTCTCCCTTCTCCTGCTGCTGTCTCCAGAGGCTGGTCTCCCTCCTTCCCCTTTCTCCTTTTAGGATCCCTTTCCCTAATAAAAAGAACCCCTCTGCTTGAACCCTGTCTCATGGCACCTTTCTCTCTCAAGCTGCTTTTCTTAAATTACAACAATGCGTCTTGAGCCAGCCATTCCAGATGGTAACAAAAAAAGCAAGTGACAGTTGTACCTTAGAATGCACGTGGTCACAGAACAATTTGAGAGCAGTGTCTCTTGGGTCCCCAGTCTTAGACCACTCATAAGTTATCAAGATTAACTTTAAAGACGATGTTATCACAAAGAAACACCATGAAACAATCGATGTTTAGCTGTACAGTTCTAACTGTTCCAGCAAGGAGAATGCAGAAGGGCCAGAGTGCATCAGTGTCGCTGGTGACAAGGCTCTAGGGCTCTAAGGGGAAGGAAACAAGCGCTACTGAAGTGTGGTCTAGAGCTGTTACTGCTTCTGGAAAGAGACACAAAAATCTGAGGGTATGCCTTCAGAAACTTAGTGGCAGCTGGCGGGGCCACAGACATTTTCTATTGTGTTTTGTAAAAGCACAGTTTGCAATATGTGAGCACACAAGCAGTCCTGCTAGCACTGAGCGCTCCCCAGAGTAGCCAGAGCATAGGTTCTGGGTAACAAGAACAGTGTGGGTAACAGCCAGGGGCAGACACAAGCACCACAAAGGGGGCATAAAGAGCTGGCTAGGGCAGTGAGTGACAGGGGCAGAAGGCTGACCTTAAGACAACACACTAGAGAGGGGACAATCAGAAACCATCCTGGTTTAATATGAATTCCACGTATTTCTTTTGTGTGTGCATGTGTGTGTGCGAGGGCATTCATGCGGGAGCCTGTGTGTGGAGGTCAGAGGACAACCTGTGAGAGTCAGTTGTCTCCTATCGTTTGGCAACAAGTACCTCCATCCCAGAGCGATCTCATATCTCACTAGCCCACCTGTTTTTGTTCTATGTACTGTTGTCCAGTACACCCAGATGTACTTCCCACAAAATGCAAAGAGCCTGAAACTTAAGTTGGATAAAATTTGGCAATAATGTGCTCCAAACTCACCACACTGCTGGGCCACCGCTACCATGGTATAGTGGCGGATCAAGCTGGCTACGAAGGGCAGGGCGCTGGGCCGCAGGTCTTTGATGACTGCAGACATGAATGCCCCAGTCAGAGCCTGTTCAAACGTCTTCCGGGCTGGAGTGTCTTGGGCTTTGTAGCGGTGTGATATTATAACATTGGGAATTGCTTTTTCTGTAAAGCTGAAAGACACAATTACATCTGTCACCCACTCAGTGTCTGAGCAGTCTGGGGTGACAAGCTGTCATGTCGAGCAGCCTGAGTGATTTCACCTCTTTTCCAATTTCAGCAGCATTTGGTACCAGATATGGACTTCATTTTCACCATTTCCAGTCAGTGTTACAAAAGACAGCAAATTATATTCTACTTAACATAAGCACAGATTTGGAAGTAAACTGTGAAATGGTGGCAGTCAGTACTTTGTCATTAAGGCTGCTGTGATGGCTGAGTGGCCAAAAGCACTGACCACTCTTTTTCAAGATATTTTTGCTTTCATGTTCATGTCTGCTGATGTGGGGCGTCCTTCTGTATGCTGCGAATACGCATTGCTTTTATTGGTTGAATAAAGCCGTTTTGGCCTATGACAGGGCAGAATATAGCCAGGCAGGAAATCCAAACAGAGATAGAGAGAGAAAGAAAGAAGGTGGAGTCAGGGATATGCCATATAGCCACTGAAGTGGTAAGATGCCAGAACATTACCGGTAAGCCATGACCTTGTGGTGATACACGTATTATTAAAAATGGATTGATTAGAAAAAAATGGATTGATTTATAAGAGAGCTAGCCAGTAATAAGCCTGAACAATTGGCCAAACAATTACATTTAATATTAGCCTCTGAGTATTTCATAATAAACTGTGGGGAAACAATTGGCCAAACAATTACATTTAATATTAGCCTCTGAGTATTTCATAAGCCACTGTGGGGACCCACGAGCGGGAGAGAAACATGCAACTACAGTGGACAGCAGACTGTTTGAGCAAAGGATCTGAGTTCAAGTCCCAGCATTCACTCAGCATCTTCAACCATCCAAAAACTCAATAAGGAATCTGATGCCTCTTCTGAGCACCAGGTATTCCCATGGAACACCTCCAGCAAACACACAAAATAAATCTTAAAAGGAGAAATAAAGGTTGCTTTATTTTTTTCCTGCAGCTACAAAAATGCATGCTCTGGGTGCAGTCGCTTCACCAGTCACCCACTGTTGTATCTGGAAGGCACTGCTACTGCAGGTCTAACAGTTAGTGATGTTCACAGAGGTGCTGAAGACAGCCTTCATCCTCTGTGGCCTGGTATGTGAAATCTGCAAAGCTCCCAGAGCCTTAAGATCCAGGCCCATTTTTGTCTGCTTGCATCCATCTATGATGAGCCTGTGTATGCTAAAGTCTGGGAGGCCCTTTGTGATGATCAGAACAAGAAATCAGAGGGATGGGGAGGTTTCTGCAAAGCTGATCAAAGGAGAAATTGGCCAAGTGGCTGGTAAAGTGGTCAAAGCAGACCTTTAATCCCAGTACTCAGGAGCCAGAGGAAGGCAGAGTTCTATGAGTTCAAGGCCAGCCTGGGATACAGAGTGAGTTCCAGGACAAGATCCAAAGTTACACAGAGAAACCTGCCTCGAAAAACCAAAAATGGCCAGGTATGGACCCACACGTGCCTATAACAGCAGCACTATGGGGAAGAGGGACGACACAGGAGGGCCACTGGGCTCGCTGAGTGCCCCTAGACACTGATGTCCTCTAGCCTCCCTTCAGAGACAGCCAGTCACCTCCACACACAAGTCTTTAAAAAGTTCTGTGTGTGTGTGTGTGTGTGTGTGTGTGTGTGTGTTTGTGTCTGTCTGTCCATCCATCCAGGAATGGTGGCCCACACCTTAATCTCAGCACTGTGGAGGCAGAAGCAATTGGACATCTGTGGGCTAGAGATGAACCTCACCTACATAGTGACTTCCAGGTCCATCAGGGTAAAGACCCTGTCTCTAAAATAAAGCCAAATTGTAAGAAGTAAATCAGTGATGGAGTGGGAATGAGACTAGGTCTGTCAGGTGTCACAGGCAGAGGCATGGCTCTGTCAGCAGAGCACTTGCCTGGTGTACAAGAAACCTGTCACCTAGCACCTGTGAGCTAGAGGCAGGAGGACCAGAAGTTCAGGTAATTCTCAGCTACACACTGAGTTTGAGGCCAGCCTGGGCTGCAAGAGATCCTGTTTCTAAACACAAAAGAAGAAAATCTTAAAAATCTGTGTCAAACATGTGACATGACCCTAGACTCTTCAACAGCAGGACACACATGAAATGAATCTGAGACCAGTTCTTACTGTGGGTGCCCATGTTCCCTCCACTTTCTCTAAGACCAGGCTTCTCAACCTCCCCAATGCTGCAACCCTTTAATACAGTTCCTCATGCTGTGGTGACCCCCAACCATAACATTATTCATTGCTACTTTATATCTGTAACTTTGCTACTGTTATGAATCATAATGTAAACATCTGATATGTAGGACATCTGCTATGCAACCCCTGTGAAAAGGTCGTTTGACCTCCCCAGGAAGTCATGATCCACAGATTGAGACCCTCTGCTCTAGACGCTCCATGACACATCACTTGGCAAGTTACATGCTACCTTGACCATTTGAAGGGACACACTCCTAGTAGAGCCCTGGAGAGTCACTTCTGTCCCCAACTTCTGCAGCAAGCTGCACCAGTCCCAGAGAATGACCCACACACTTACTTGGGGTGTGCCAGCAGCTGGTAGAGCGCATGTTTGTTGTCCTCCAGGCTCATCATGGCCACTAGGAAGCACCTGATCACCTCCCAAGCCTGCCTCCGGTAGTAGGGCTCTGTGTTGGCACTTTTCAGGCAGTCGAGTGCGGTCTCAATGGCCTAGGACAAAAAGCATAGAATGTATAGCGTCCACTGTTACTGTCTTGTGGGGAGAGCCAAGCAGGGCCAACAGTCTAACAGGCAACCACAAGCCAGAGTTCTGAAAATGGAGACAGTGAAGAAAGTAAAAAGCTGCATAGCTCCAAACAAAATGTAATGGTGCACAGTAATTCTAGCTTTAAGATTTTACTTTTAATTATGGGTATACATGTGCACCTGTCTATCGGTTATGCACATGTTGAGGACAGGTGTCCACAGAGGTCAGAGGGTGACCGATCACTTAGAGCTGGAGTTATGGACAGCACCATGAATGCTGGGAACTGAGCCTACAGCCATGGCAAGAGTAGCAAATGCTCATAACTAACTGCTCAGTCAGTTCGCTAGGCCCTAATTTCACGGTTTAATGAGAGACAACAAGAAATCAAAGAGTTCCGGAGGGTCCGGTGTGGCAGGCAGGCTGTCATCTCACACACCCAGCCAGGTCTGAAGCTCATGAGCTTCTGGCAATACACATGCCTGTCTGCCCTAAAGTTGAAACCTGGAAGATGTCTTCCTTATACTTTTACTTCTCTTTGAAAGAGAAGGCCATCCATCCACCAGCTCTCCTCAAACCTACACATCTGTATGCAGACATACACGCAAACAGAGAAAGAGAGAGACAGAGAAACACAGAGGTACAATTTTATACTAACTCATTTCCAAAGAGCCAGGAATTAGAACAGGAGGATTAGCATAAAAAATGGGAGGAAACTGGAGCCTGGTATACTAAAGGTGAGAGACAATTATAGATCTACTTGAGTTTTCAATGGCTCTCAAAGTGAGGCCTAGCAAGTTCCCAATAGACCAGTTCAGGTGAGCTGGTCACTGGGAAGGACTCTATCCTCAAGAGGCCTAAATTCCTGTGTGACACCATTCCACTAGCCCACAAGCATGATATTATGCAGCCAGCTCCCCAGCCAAGCAGACCACCACGTGACTCCTGCACTGAGTGAGAGTCCCTCTCTCAATGTAGGCTCACACATGTCTTTTATAATCAGAGCAGTCTTCTTAGAGCAAACAAACAAGGCCTCCTTGCTAGCTTCTGCCTTTACCTTCTCCATGGGAAGCTGAAGCGAGGCTTTGCAGTCCGAGAACTCCACAGTAATGCTGGGGCCTTGAACCTCAGTCACAATGTAGTGCAGCTTCTGGGACTCCTTCAACATCTTCCTGTTGCTGCCGCCAAACTTCCCAAGCACACGGTAGGCCACGTGGGAGATGCTGTCTGCAGGGTTGCGCAGTGTGCGCCACAAAGCCTAAAATATGAAGAGACGCTCATTGAAAGCTTGGTCAGGCAGCAAGTTCTCAGTTTACAACCACAATTCCAATTTGTTAGATGTGAGGACTCTTCCTCCTGCCCGGCTCCCTTCTGAGGAATAAGTCAGTGTTAATACAGTCTTACTTGTTTTCTTCCAGGGAAGTTCTGTGTCTTTACTAAACAAACATATTTTGGTTCTCTTTTATACAAAAGATGACACAGGATAAAAAAGCAAAGAGTTGGGGCTAGAGAGATGGCACAGAGGTTAAGAGCACTGACTATTCTTCTAAAGGACCTGGGTTCAGTTCCCAGCCCTGACATGCTGTCTCACTTCTTTGTATAGCCCAACCCCTCTTCCGGCCTCCACAGGCACTGCACAAATGTGATGTAAATACATATAAGCAAATACTCAAACACATAAAAGCAAGTGAATCTTTAAAATAAAAGGCTCAAGGGTCAGAGTGAAAAGCTACACTTCTCAGGCATGAAATGGGATGAGGCACAAGGTGAGCTACTGAAATTCTTGTCCTAGATTGTTTTTTCTTCTACTTAGAAAAACGACAAACAAACCATTCCATTAGAGGAGGGTAAGGGTATGGTAGGTGTTGTTGTTTTGCTGCAGCTGCGGGCCATGAAACATGAACCATAAAACTCAACAAAGCCATGTGGAGTTTATTAGGAAAGGGAGCGAAGGGAGGGGTAGGTGTGGGGAAGGGAAGAAAAAAGAGGTAAAGAGACAGAGAGGACAGGAGAGAAGAGGGAGACAGGAAAAGTCTGGTCTGTCCTAGGGGAACAGCAGGAAAGAGAGAGCAGAAAGAGGAGCAGGAAACAGAAGAGAGCAGAAAGAGATGAGTGGGCAAAAAGACGATTAAGTGGACAGGGTCTTTCTTTTAAAGGGGTCCTTTGCACCTGCATGCAGACTCCATGGAACCCTGGGCTGACCAGGGTACTGCCTGAGTGCATTCTGCCAGGTGACAGGCAGGCCAGCATAATGCTTGAATCCTCATAGTAGGGGTCCCTGAGAGCCAGGAAAAAGAAAAACCAACAATAGCCACAAGGGCCAAGCAATGTCTTTGAATATACATAAACTTGACCACATCTCTTCTGCCACCTCTCCTTGCTCAGTAAGTCTTCCTGAAGGACAGGGAGGCCACCATGTGGTTGGTTTAGTCTCTGCCAAAATGCCTAGGTTAGACCTTGTTACATCCCCCAGAGTGGCCATCCCTCCACATCCAGGCCATCTTTAGAACCTCAACTTAGGATTTTAACACAACCAACAAAATAATGTTAACATGAGCTAGGTGTGTTGGTGCATGCCTTTAATCCCAGCACTTGGAAGGCAGAGGCAGGTGGATCTCTTGTGAGTTTGAGGTCATTCTGGTCTACAGAGCAAGTTCCCAGGGCAGCCAAAGCTACACAGATAAACTGTCTCAAAAAAACCGAAAATAACGACAACATTAGCACAGGAGAGACAAACAGCAAAGGTGGCAGAGAAGCCCACACCTTTGCTGTGCTCAGCACTCAGATTTGAAACTGTATCTTTGTTGATGACAGCAGAGCATCTGAAGCAGGACTGCAGTGTTGATTAAGCTCAGGTGTGCTCTACATGGCAAACACCTGTACGCCCTGCTGCAGAACACTACACACACTGCCCTCACCTGAATTACCTACAGCTCAAAATTACTGCTGTCTTTAAGTCTATTTTCTTAACTTCCATCACAACACTCAATGCTAGAAACCAGCTATAATATTCAAGCTTAACATGAAATCTTGGTACATTTCCTGCCACCAAGCAAAATCCAGTTTCTCTCATGTTCTTGCAAGTCAAACCACTATGAGGATGACCTATAAGGCCTCTCTGCCTCAGGGAGGGGTCTTTTGCTTCTCAGCCAGGTGAGGGTAACACCAAGGCTCAGTGGGTAGATCAGGAGAGACAACACTGCCACTTGTAACTGGACCCCTAGAAATTAAAAGGGACCTTTAACCTTATCTCTGAATGTTCTTGTGATAAAGCGAACTGAGGCACAACACTGCCTGAGCTCCAGCGGCCCCCTTGCTTCCGCTTCTCCTGGCTGCCCATACACGCTCTGGTCAAGACAAGCTCCACTTTCCAGAGCTGACAACACAGTTCTCAGAGCAGGCTCTGCAGTCCTCCCGTGACAAGTGGGTCCTGGAACCAGCTTCTTCCAGTGTAGAGAGAGACCAAGCGATGATCTCAGGATGGGCAGGGAAGGTGTTAAGTCTTGCTTTCAACCCATGGTGCTGCCTCTCCAATCCAGCTTGTCTAGAGGCCCCTGTGTCCAGGAGCTGCTAAGCCTCTACCATGGAGGGCTGGCTGGAAACCCTGTGCTAGGAGGCAGAAGTAAAGAGTCCCCCTGCCACCAGTGACTAACAATCCTATCATAATCACAGTACCAACAAAGTGAAAAATGAGGATATTCAACACCTGACTGGGGGTGATTGGGGGGTTGAGACAGAGTTTCTATGTGTAGCCCTGGCTGTCCTAGAACTCACTCTGTAGAACAGACTGGCTTCAAACTCAGAGATCTGCCTGCCTCTGCCTCCCAAGTGCTGGGACCAAAGGCTGTGCCACCACCGCCCAGCAACACCTGATTTCTAGTAAGCTAAAAAAAAACCCTAAGACTTCAAAACAACCCCTTAGTGTCTGTTATTTTTCTCTTGGGGTGAGATGGGTGGGGTAGCCCATCAGCTTCTCTGCAGTTTTATCGTTTCATCATGAAAGTGAAAGTCTGTGTGGATACAGGCAGGTTCTTTCTGGGAGCACCAGCAGCTACACAGCACCCATACCATCTGCCTTCACACTGGCTAATGGAGACTTTGGTTAGTACATCCCAGGGCTCGGCAATCAAGCATCACTTAAGTCTGCCTCTGTGCCTCTGACTGAACAGTGTGACAAACTGGAGGCATGAAGAGCTGGTGCCCTCTGCTGGTACAGAGGTGGAGGTACACTTACCTGCATGAGCTCAGCCCGCACAGGCTGAATGTGATCATAGAGGAAATCGGGTTGCAGGTTGTCCACACACAACTCCAAGGTCCTCAGGCCTTGGCTGACCAAGGTCTGAGACCCATTGAGGGCAGACACCAAGGGATCCATCAACATGGGCAGATAGGGCAGCAGAGAGCTCAGCCGCACTGGCACCGTGAGACACAGCTCCACAAAGAGGTCCTTCATGTGTTGCTTATGCAGGCCACTCTGTAACATGTTCAGGCCTGGAAACAGGGTTGGAGGGGGACGTTACTTCCCTAAAGCAACGTCAGCTGTGCAAAGTTACAAGCCACTGTTAACCCTGTTAACTGCATCCACAAGTCCCTTTCACTGTGATAATACAGGCTGTGGGGAGTTCCTGGAGGTCATCCTGTGTTTTTATAAACATCTGATGTTTTATAACATCCTGTTAATACTTTTTGTGATGTATCTAGGCAAAGAGAAAAGAACCAGACCTAGCAGCAGGAGGAAATCAGCTTAAGCAGGACTAAATAAGACCAGAGTAAGGTCTGGACATGCGGCTGAGCAGGGACAAGGGCCACCCAAGGCATACTGTGGGAAATTCTAAGTATTTTACACTCCACACCATTGGTACAGAGGTAACACTGCAATAAACATAAACAAGACTTGCACATGACAAGTCCTACCTGGTTTGATTGTAGAAACTAATACAGTTATTTTCTAAAGGGGGTGAGCTTCCCAGCATCCACCCACCTCCCATGAGCTTTGCCAGACAGTGTTAGCCCAACCGTTATTGGAGACACTGTGCTCACCTTGGAGGAGGTTTGGGAGAAGAGGCAGAAACTCCTGATACAGGAGATCATGGCTGCCACCTCCTATGGATCGGAAGAGGGCACGGAGTAGTAGGAAGTAGTTGTAAGGCTCCTTGGCTGTCTGTGCCAGCTCCATGGAGCTGTTCACGATCTTGTGCAGGTGAGGCTGTGCAGAGAGAAGGCAGATCGGTGAGCACCAGTGAGGAGTTCCCACGCCCTTTCGGACAGAGCTCACACACCACTGCATCAGCAGCAAGAAGAGGTTATTTCAGGTGGAACAAGAACGGAAGGACCAATGGTTTCAGCCATCTAGCTATGAAGGATGTACTTAGTAGGTTCCCAGATTACTATACAGTTAACTCAGGATGGAATTTTCTTTTTTTAGGTTTTGAGATGGGGTCTCAGGCTGACCTCAAATGTTCTAAGTAGCTGAAGCTTTCTTGATCCCACTGCCTCCACCTTGCAAGTGGTAGGGTTACATACTAGGCCTGCATACTCTTGATTCTGAATTTTCTATTGTTACCTGGCAGAGCAATCCAGCATTATATGGTAATAACTAAACTGTCGTTGGCATGTGGCCCTTACTTATGGCACACCAAATTTAAAGACTGTTTTACACATGTAAAAATTGAGTCACTGTACGTTCTGTTAAAAAATGGAAACAACAAAAGCCCCAGGACCCCAGAGGCCCAGAGAGCAAGGCACACATTACCTTCAGCATCTGCTCATTTTCAGCTGCAAACAGGGACACTGAACCGAAGACCAACTTGAACAGCTTGAGGTACAAGTTGGAGAGTTCCACATTGGAGCCCATTTCTGGCAGCCGGTCCAAGAGGTACTCCACCAGGATTGTGGCAAACAGAGCCGAGGTAGTAGGATTTGCCAAAAAGGAGTTGGCAACAATCTGTCAAAACAAGAAATGCCCATGACAAAAATAATCCCCTTCCTCAAAGCATCTGCAAAAGGCAAAGTAATGAGTTTCCAAATAAAACCCCCATGGCAGACTGCTGAGAAAACTCCCACTGCCACTTCAGATGAGCCGTGCCTCCAACCAGAGCACTGCGCATTTGCTCACCATCCAACACTGACAGCCTGCATTTATCACCCATTAGCTTCTACTCTTGACAGAAGCCTGCCTGCAGCATCAAAGGCTTGAAAACTTGCTCAAGCATCATTGCCCAATATTTCCCTACAAGCACATCCTTAGGGACAGCTTTTTTTTTAAAGCCTCAAAGTAGATGAGTAAACACAAAACATTCAATATACAAAAAAGCTGAAACTGAAAGAATATAAAGGGGGCTGGCAAGATGGCTCAGCAAGTAAAGGCAACTACGTAACACTAACACCGTGCTGAAGACTTGAGTTCAATCCCTAAGCCACATGGTGAAAGGAGAGAACTCACTCCCACAAACTGTCCTGTGACCACCAAAACACCCGTACGTGCACACGCACACTAATAGAAAAGGGAGTTTATACCTGAAGAGCGTAATTTTTTGAGATCCTTTCCACCATGTAAGGGACAGTAGTCTGAAAGATCTCTTTGAAAGTCAGGGGGTTCATCATGGTGAAGACGCCAGCAAAGTGCTCCAGCACCTCCTTTTCTTCCTTCATCCTCACAGTCTGGCAGTTGGCTACTCGGATGTATGTCTGTCCATTTCCTGCGATCTGGACCTAGAATGGGAGAAGCACTACAGCCATTAGAAGAGAGCCTTCTTATACACACACACACACACTTTACAAAATCATGAGTTATATACTTCAAATGTGGCACTGGATTGAACAATAAAGACTATCCTCCTTCTAAAATCTCTGTTCTTGCCTCAATTTTGAAAAAGAAGATGCTAGGTGTTCACTTCACATCCGGAAAAAAACAGTAAGTAAACTTAAGAGTCCAGAAAGACAACTCAGAGGGTAGAGATAACTGACATCCTCCACTTGGTAAAAAGCCCCTTATCCTTACATGGCTCTTGTCAGAGCATTTTAGCACAGTAGCAGAGCAGGGAGTTAAGCACCAACATGTATGAAGCCTGGGCTTGATCCCCAGCACCACATAAACAGTGTGCTATCCCAGCAAAACACAAAGCCAGGTAGGCCACACAACAAAAACAAACCCACTGGGAGAGGACTCCAAAGGCCAGTTCCATCACTAGCACTCCGTTCTAAGAGAACCTTCCACACCCAGCAGCATGGTTTGCAGCCACTTCATACCTGATAGATATCCAAGGCCTGCATTGCGTACTTCACGAGTTTGATGTAAATCTGAGTTTCTTTGGGTTGTAACTGCTTGTTAGGAATAAACTGAGCTTCTAGAAGAGAGAGACTACATTAAAACCTGACAAACACACCAACTAAAAATGCTGTCGGTCAAAAGAGTGTAAGAGTACAATTACCACCAGGTGCTTTACACGAAGTTATGCCCCATGTGATGGTCTTGACACCGCAGACCAAGGTTTTCACCAAACTCCGGCAATCTGTAACCTGGAATGTCTGCTTATCCTCCTTTTCTTAAAAATAGCTGAGAGCTGGTAGCGAGCAATGGTGTGGAACTTGAGGACAAAAACCTAACAGCAAAACAAATTGGGGTCAAGAGAAGGAGCCAAAAGTCATCTTCAGAGCAAACATCTGAAACCATATAAAGTCATGCTGCCTATCACTACAAAAGGTGCCAAGAGGGGTGATTGCTCAGTCTGCAAAGTGCTTACCTTTCAAACATGAGGATCCCTGCACAGTTTACAGATCCTGTGCAGCAGAGCAAGGGTATGGTGCCATGCTCTTGTAATCCCAGGTCTGGGGAGGCAGACACTGCAGGGATCTCTGGGGCTGGCAGACTAGCCAGCAGACACTACAAGGTCAACTACAGACCACCAAGGCCTTGTCTTAAAAAGACAAAACATAGCTGGGTGGTGGTGGCACACGCCTTTAATCCCAGCACTTGGGAGGCAGAGGCAGGGAGATCTCTGAGTTCGAGACCAGCCTGGTCTACAGAGTGAGTTCCAGCACAGGCTCCAAAGCTACACAGGGAAACCCTGTCTCGAAAAGCAAAAAACAAACAAACAAAAATATAAAACATGCTGCAGAGATTGCTCAGCTATTAAGAAATCATACATCTCTTCCAGAAGACCAAAGATTCATTCCCAGCACTCCCGTGGAATGGCTCAAACTGTCTGAAACCGGAATCTAAAGCCTCTGGCACACGTGAACATATGCACCACATACACAATTAAAATTTAAAATTAAATCTTTTTTTTAATTTTAGATTTATTTATTTATTTATTTATTTATTTATTTATTTATTTATTATGTATACCGTGTTCTGCCTGCATGTATTCTCTATATAGGCCAGAAGAGGGCACCAGATATCATAGATGGTTGCTGGGAGTTGAATTCAGGACCTCTGGAAGAAGACAGTGCTCTTAGCCTATTGAGCCATCTCTCCAGCCCTAAAATTAAATGTTTAGGAAAACCAAAACAGAGCCAGGCAGAGGTAGCACACGCCTTTAATCACAGCACTCAGCAGGCAAAGACAGGAGGGTCTCTGTGTGTTTGAGGGCAGCCTGGTCTACAAAATGAGTTCCAGACAGCCAAGGATAAACAAAGAAATCCCATCTCAAAAAAAAAAACAAAACAAAACAAAACAAAAAAACAAACAAACAAAAAAAAAAAACAAAAGTAGATGGCCCTTGGGGACATCTAAAACGGTTCTGTGGCCCCACACACATATGCACAAAGATCAACAGCTGCTGGTTTCTGAGCTGGGTGAGCAGGATCCAGCTTTGAATCAGGACTGCTGGAGTGGCCCTCCCTCCAGTGCCATGGAAAGCCTTTCATTCCTCCCAGACACTAACTGGGGTGTCCCTAAGCTGCTCTCTCAGAGCAGTCCCGTTAGACAGATGCTAATTATCCTGAGACTGAAGAACAGAAACACAGAAACAAGCAGTTTCCAAGCATGGCTGCCTGCAGCAGGAGGACCCAGGGGTTAAACAATGTGGTCTAACTCCCAAAGCCAAACTCCTATGTGGCCACCTAAGTCACCCACATTTGACAATGCTTAAGACAAGGAAGAGCAGCCGTACGGTACCTCCAGCATCCGCATCAAGACATCTCTGCCATTGCCGCTCTCCTGCTCACTCTTGGAGCGGATGCAGTCCACCAGGTTCAGCAGGAGTTTGCAGGACATGGTTTGGATGCTGCTGGGCAGGGACTCATCATCGATGTTCTTGGCGAAGAGCTGTACGGCCAGGGAGAGGTCACTGAGGGGCAGGTGCTGGCGGACGTGATGCACAAGGTCAGCAAGTGTGCTGTAGGCGAGGGGTCTGCGGGAAGACACGCCATCAGTGTATCCCTGTAGCCACTGCTGGGACTGCAGTGCTAAAGGGGAGGGTCCAACATGGCCTCAGTGCCTACCCAGACCCTTGTTCCTCTCCAGGCTGCTCGACTGAAAGGCCCAATCCTTCTTGTCTAGCTTCACTCTACACATTAAAAAGCTAACTTTTATCCAAGTCACAAAGTTCCTGTCCTAGTTGGCTTTTCTGGTGCTGTGATGAAACACTATGACCAAAAGCAACTTTATGGAGGGAAGGGTTAGTTGACTTACACTTTCAGGTCACAATCTATCACTGCAGGAACTCAGAGCTTGAAACATCAACAATGGGAGACCCTACCTACTGGCTCACACTCAATTAGCTTTGTTACAGCCCAGGGTCACCTGCCTAAGGATGGTGGTACCCACAGTGGACTGGGCTCTCCTACTAATCAGCAATCAAGAATATGCCCCACAGACATGTGTCAATCTGACAGGAGGAATTCTTCATCTAGGTCCCCTATTGTCATGTAACTCTCTAGATCAGCTACTGACAGTTGATGGCGTCTTGGCAAGGATAAATGTTCTCTTTAAGGCAGCAGTTCTCAACCTGTGGGTCATAAACCCTTTGGGGTGAGAATCACTGCTCTAGATTGTGTCAACAATAATGACCAACCAGAAAAATAGCAAACAGGTACTGGCAGATATGGTAACCAAGGCACAAATAATCACCAACTTGTTCAAACACTAACAGTGTGGAAGGCATGGTGGTGCACACCTTTATTCCCAACACTGTGCCAGGCACGATAGCACACACCTTTAGTTCCAGCACTCAGGAGGCAGAGGCAGGGGGATCTCTGTGAGTTCCAGGCAGTCATGGCTACATAGTAAGACTGTTTCAAAATGTTAACCTGTTAATAGGTTAATGCTGTATACATTATGACCACTGTATGCACATACAACTACGTTTCCTGAGTTATTAAATCATACACATTGTTCACTAACCTCCGCACCTTGGCACAAGTGCATGAGCATACACACACAAATAAATTCCAAAAATGTTTAAAGACGCTCTTTCCTTTTTAAACAACCTAAACATTTCCTCACTTCCAAACCTGCTGCTATTCTAAATCCAGTAGGTAAGTAGGGCCCAAGAGCCTGCCTCAGAGCACTCCCACCATGCTAACCAGGCCTGCATCCTGGGTCTAACAATGCTGTACCTAAGCGTCTCCCGTGCCGTGTATCCAGAGCCAATCAGGATAGATTCATCAAACAGCTTGTCCATGCAGGGGATGAACTCTAGGAAACACAGGAGAACATTAAGGACTTCACAAACCTCCCACAGTGGTCAGCCTGTGGCCTGTTAGGTGAAGAAAAGGGCAGAGAAAAAAACCAGAAAGGCACTGTAAAGTGGGAATGTTGGTTCTACTCTGCCATGCAAACCACCTGCCCACAAAGACACAGTCAGGAAATGTTTGTTGTTAGAGAACTGACCAAGACGGGCTAGAATATGGCTCAGCCGTAAAAGGTTAGGCTCACAACCAAAGATACAAGACAACCAAAGATACAAGACCAAGACTATGGACGACAAGCACACAGGACATTTGGGTTCTGGAACAAAACTGACACACTGCCAGCTCAGTTCTAAAATCAAGTATATTTCATGCCTCTGGCCTCCTGTAGGCACCTGCACTCGCATGTAACTCATCACCCCAACACACACACACACCCACCCACACACACATACACACAGACAATTAGTAAAATAAATCTTTTAAAAGGAGGGCAAATGGGCATGGTGGCCCACATCTTTAATCCCAGCATTTGGGAGGCAAAGGTAGGCAGATCTCTGAGTTTGAGGCCAGCCTGGTCTACAGAGTTTTTGGCTCAGTAGAAGACATGTGTTCAATTCCCAGCACTACATGGCAGCTCACAATTAATTCCAATCTCAGAGTCTGATGCCCTCCTCTGGTCTCTACAGATATTCATGCAGTGCACAGACCTACACAGAGTAGAGTTAAAATACCCATACATCCACATATGTAAAAGTAAACAAAAAAAATTAAAGAAATGCAAAAAGCCCCAAGGCAGCACATCTACAAGACATGCCAAGATCCTGTAGAACCTCTGGGAAGTCACCAGGCCTTGTCCCAAAGATGGCACAGGTGACACAGGCTTTCAAAGAAAAGCTAGCCTTACGGTTTCTCAGCTCCGTGGTGAGGATGTGCTTGGCAGCAATGAGGAGCTCCTTCCTGAGGTGTGCAGTCTCCGCTGGGCAATTGGAAAGCAACTGTAGCATGCCTTTCACCATCTGCTGAGAGTACTTGGTCACTAGCTCCTGTCACAGCAAGGAAGACAACAATCATATGTATGTGGGAGGCGACAGACAAGTCCTATCAAGTCCTATCAAGACACGTTAGGCCTACTAAGTAAGTACCACCCAAAAGGTTTTGGTGTATACTTGTGCTCACACAGAGCCATGCAGCCAATGTCCAGGACAACATGGAAAGATGGCCTTCCATGGGATATAAGTGTGGATGCAGTGTTTGTAATGCTCTATTGTTTTATAAATTTCAACAGTGAATACACATCATTCCCTCATTAGAGAGAAAATGCTAAAGCTTGTTTAAATAAATACTCAGGGCTAGAACAATGGCTCGGCCGTCAAGGGCACTGGCTGCTCTTCCAGAGGACCCCCATTCAGCTTCTAGCACCCATGACAGGTGGCTCACAACCACCTGTAACTCCAGATCTCGAGGATCCAATGCCCTCCTCTGCCTTCCACAGGCAGGTGCACACACACAGGCACATCTTTTTGAAGTAGTAAATGTCCAGGCATGGTAGCACAAGCCTTTAATTCCATCACTCAGGAGGCATATGTAGGTAGATCTCTGTGTGACCACCCTGGTCTATCTAACAAGTTCCAGGACTCAAAACTCAACCAGTTCTCTTTTATAGGGTTTCTCTGTGGTGGCCCTGGCAGCTGTCCTGGAACTTGCTCTGTAGACCAGGTTGGCCTCGAACTCACACAAATCCACCAGCCTCTGTCTCACCAGTGTTAGGATTAAAGGCGTGCGTCACCAATGTCCGGCTCACTCAGTCCTCTTAGTTATCGCCCAACATGAGCTGAGAGTGACAAGAGATTGACTGTGGTGATTCTGAGGAGCTCTCAACAGTCTCTTCCTGACTCAAACACTAAGGGATAAAATCTCCACTTCTGGCCATGGTGGTCAACACCCACAATCCAGCACTCTGGAGATCATGGGTTGAAGGCCACCCTGGGCTACACAGTGAGACTGTAATCTAAAGTAATTTTTATTTTAAAACAATTGTTAAACCCTTACAGAGTTCTACACCAGCTGAGACCCTGTCGCCAAAAACAAAAAGCCTGAGAAACAAAACATAATTCCATTTTGAGATCAGAATTGCACTTACTCCATACTTTAGAACAATGTTGACTGCCTGCACCAAATTTTTATTGAAAAATTACATAGCTTCCTGGGTGGTGGTGGTGGCTCACACCTTTAATCCCAGCAATCGGGAGGCAGAGGCAAGCAGATCTCTGTGAATTCAAGGACAACCTGGTTTATAGAGTGAGTGCCAGAAGAACCAAGGCTACACAGGAAAACCCTGTCTTGAAAAACCAAAACAAACAAAAAAATTATATAGCTTAAGTAAGCCAGGTCTGAGGTTAAGTCTAAAATTCCAGTTCTTGAGAGGCAAAGGCAAGAGGATCACTGCAAATTGGAGATTGGCCTGTTACCACAGCAAACCATGACAATCAGGCTGTGTAGTGAGACCACATCTCAAGAAAGAAGATGGGGTTGGGGGAGTAAGATGCCTCTGGAGGTAACTCCCATGCAAACCTGGTGACCAGAGTAAGCAGAGAATCAACCACACACACACACACACATACACTAAAACTTATTTAAAAAGAAAAACAAACCCATGTAGCCTACTGATGGAGCTCAGGTCCCCTTCCCCTTTCCTTCTGATTTAAGAGACATGACATCTCAGCACTCCTGCCTAGCAAAGGACAGCAGACACAAGCTACAGACACCATACTAGAAAGCAGAAAAGGCAAAAACTATGGGGACAAAAAAACAGAGCAAAGTTTTCCAAAACTGGAGATGCCATGATGAAACTTACTCCAACTGGCCATGAAACTTTAGGGGGATAGAAACCTATATGTTAATGAATTGACTGGAAGCAATGGTCAACTCAAGGACACATACACAGAAAATGAATTTTACTCCATGTGAAATATAGCAAAACCAGAGTAGGGCAAGAACTCAGTGGCTAAGTGTTTGACATGCAAGAGAATCAGAAACCAGATGGCCAGAACCTACATAAACTCTGTGTGGGCAGGGCAGTATTAATTCCACCCTTGAAGGTAGAGACAGGATCCTGAGCATGGTGCTGATAGGGCTAAATATACAATGAACACTGGGTTTGACTTAAGAGACCCTGCCTCAGAAAGAAAAAGGCAGAGAGCGATCTAGGAAGATTCCCTACACCAACGCCTGGCCTCTACATATACTTGAACACATGTGCATTCATTTATAAACACACATACATCACATACTCACAAATAGACACTTACTCAAAGCATACACATACACATGAAAGAAAAAAAGGAAATCAAGCCCAGGAACTTACTTGGTAAATTCTGATGATATAGGCTAAAAATGACAATGTTTTGATCTGAGCAGCAATGAAGTCAGCATACAGCTCCTTGTTGTAAAGCTTATGTTGCCTGGGCAGGAAATAAATACAAGTCCAAAGTCAGTTCTTCAGGTGACTTGGAATTAAACACCTACTGTAACTACTAAGCCATGAAGTTCCCTCGTTTCTATACAGACCAAAAGCACCACTGCAACAAATGCATCTACGTTTACGCAGCTTCAAATCACATGAAAGGGACTAGAGAAACAGCTCAGTGGTTAAGAGCACTTGTTGTTTACAGAGAACCCAGGATTTCCAGCATCCAAGTTGAACAGCTCATAACCTCCAGAAACTATAGTTCCAGAGGAATCCGATACCCTCTTCTGGTCTCCACAGGCACTGGATATACCCACACATAGGCATGTACACATACACATAATTTTTAAAAATGAAATGAAAATTGCCTAATAGTTCTAAAAGGCGCACGCCTTTAATCTCAGCACTTGGGAGACAGAGGCAGGAGGATCTCTGAGTTCCAGGCCAGCCTGGTCTAGAGAGCGAGTTCCAGAACATGCTCCAAAGAGGCCCAAATCAAACCATATCATACCACCCCTAATGTGGATTCCCTATCATCCATGCCGCATGATCTGTATTCCTCAGGGCACCTGTGTGCTTAATACAAGCTCTGGGAATGGCTGGAGAGGGCCACTCCTCAGATGCTCCTCACAGCCAGAGGGCTGCATGTCAAGAGAGGGTGTCCTTAAGGAATGCTATTTAGTTTAAGACAAGGATGGATCCAGTGAGCTTGTTCCTCCTCAGCAGGGAGCCCTGGAAATCAAGCATGCTGCCAGTTTCCTCAAAGAAGAGCCAGAACAAAAAATACCTAGGGACACTGGGAAAATTCTAAGATGAGAGAAAACAACCTACTGGAACTTCTTTTCAGCTAAGAGGCCCAGGCCATGGCTCAGCAGCTAAAGGTACCTGCTGCCAAGACTGACAACCTGAGCTCAATCCCTGGGGCTCACAAGGTGGAGAGAACTAACTTCTGCAAGTTGTCCTGACCCCACAGCACAGCATGGACATGCACATACTCACATCCACAGACACACAGATGGAGAAAACCAAAACTGTTAAAAGGAACTACAACATTCATAGCCACCACTACTTCAATAGGAGTATAAAATAGCTTGTTTAAGCACACTGTAACACTCATAACTCTCACATCTCAAGAAGGGGAGCATTGACAACCACTAGTTGGAAAAGGCCCTATGCCATCAGCTCCATCTTGGCCTGAGGTACACTTACCTGGCTTGTGCAGAGACCTGGATCGCAATAGTATTCATGATCAAGGGCACAAACTCAGCAACGACATTGTGGATGTTCAGTTTGTACAGCTGTAGGAAATAGCAGAGTTCAGAGCTTTCACATTCATCTACCACAGAATGATCTAGCATACCATAGAGACATCCATGAGCATCTGGGCTTCATGTGCATCTTATTCACTGAAGGAAATTAGACGTGAACTTTCACATGAAAAAATAAAAATGATTGAGGGGTACACATACCTGGTACATTAGTACAACAATGATGGGCAGCTCAGCCAGGACTTTCAGTGAAAGTGACCCTCGTGGGATGATGGAATGCTGTGAGATGCAGACAGGAGAGACAACCATCAGCTCTATGGCATCTACAAGTCTAGCCAGCCCCACTAAGGACCACAATGAACACAGACGTTGACATATGCTTGCAAATATCTGTGGGGGAACCAAACTAAGTACACAGGACTGTTACTTCACAGAGGCAAAATCTTGGGGGTGGGGGGTAGAATCCAAACAGATTCAAATCCCCTAAGGAATCTGGGGGTCCTGTGAGGGTAGGAAGTCTGGTTTGGAGACAAGGTCTCCCTACATGTTCTTGGCTGACCTCAAACTTATAGTGATCCTTCTGCTTCCTGCCTCTACACCCTAAATGTTGGGATTGCGAGCATGCAACACCAGATCTAGCTGTCTGATTTTTGAAAGTCTCACTGTGTAACTCAGGCTGGCCTTGAATTCACTACTTAGCCAAAATGAACTTGAAACTCACAGCAATCCTCCTGCCTCAGTCATGTGCCCACCATATCCTGTCTGTCTGTGTCTGTCTGTCTGTCTGTCTGTCTGTCTGTCTGTCTATCTATCTATCTATCTATCTATCTATCTATCTATCTAGAGAGGGTCTCATAATGTAGACCAGGCTGGCCTCAAACTCACAGAGATCCACCTACCTCTGCCTTCCCAAGAGCCAGTACTAAAAGTGTGTGCCACCCAGCCCAGCAACACACCCAGCTTTTTAAGCAACTACCTGACTTAAAAAAAAAAGAAAAACTTCAAGAGTCCAATTCAGCCTATAGGTTTTAATTAACAGGTTTTAATTAACAATATTTATATGCAGAAAAAATGCTTATAGGAAATCCAGGAGAGAGCTGAATGAGCTTATTAAGGATCTTAAAACATGAAGAAAGGCAGACGCACACTACCTGCGAGCAATGGACTGAGCTTTGCTTAAAATTCAGTTTTGGTTCTCCTCAGCACAAGCTGAAGCCTTGTCTCAGTATAAGTACAAATGCTAAAATGCCTTCCTTTAGGCTGTCACATGTAGCCCAAGCTGGCATCCAACTTGCTATGCAACAGAGGAGAGCCTTCAACTGATCCCACACCTCCCTAGTTCTAGGATTACAGGCATATACCAGCATGCTCAGTTGACCCTGCTGAGGACAGAGCCCTGGGCCTTCCTGCATGCAGGCGGGCAGGCGGGCAGGTGGGCGGGCAAGCATTCCTCCAATAGACACATGCCCTTAGCCCCAGTAAAACATTCTTAACTTAGCCCCCTAAATGAGTCATGGCAAAAGGTCACCACATCTCTCCTACGTGACAGACAACACTCGAATTACCTCTGCAAAGCCTAAGACAGATTTCCAGATAAAAACAGGAAAAACAAGGTTGAGGGGAAGGTTCACTAACTTTTTTGAGTCAGGAAACCAGAATAGGGCTGGGGCACCATCCATCCAGGTCCTCTCTGGCCCAGGGAGCTTCAATTTTACCTATAGCTTCAAAGGACTTCTAGCAGATCAGAACCTCTCTGCCCCCAGGCCTCGCCTGCTGCTCTTGCCAGCAGGAGACCCTGGTTTTCTCCAGTGGGCTGGTCTTTAGAGCCAAACATCACTGGTGCCCAAGGGTTCACCTTCACCACTCCAAGACACATGGCAGGCCCAGGCTTATGCCTCCAGGTAAAGGAAAGAGAAAAGAGAAAAACAAACCGTCTAAGATCTCTTCTTGCCCTGTACCAAATAGAGAAGCCACGGATTTGGAGAGAGAACACAGTAAGGAGACAAAGCCATCAGGAGGATGGGAGGGACACCCACCGTACGGGTCTCGCTGTCTTCCCGTTCAGGGTTGACCTTCACAGCAATTGTGGTGATCATACCAACCATTTCTGGAGGAGGCACTGTGTTTTCAGGGATCCCCTGAGGATTCTCAAAGTAGCGGTTCTACACAGAAAGAACACAGTAATGGCAGCAAACAGTGTGTCATGTGGTGTTCAGCACTCCCCATCCTAAAACCAGAAACCCCACCCCAGTCACTTCTTCAAATCCCCTTTGGGACAGGTGGTAAATAAATAAATTCAAACTTTAATAATAAACATACCACTACTTTTGGAAGCTCCTTGTAAATCTGCTTCACAAAATCCAAAAAGTGATGAATCTAGAAAACAAAACCAACAAAAACCAGAACACTTCATTTTAGGAAATACTTACAGGGCCAGTGCTGCCTCAGGGGGTAAAGGTGCTTCCTATTCAAGCCCCACACCTCGCTGATGCCTGAAGACATACCTGAGATTTCCTCTGACCTCCACACATGTGCTTAGGCACACCTGCCACCTCCACTCCACAAATTTTTTTTAATGATATTAAAAGGTAAGGAACTGTTTCAGGCAAGATACAAATGGGCACACAAACAAAACAAAACAAAACAAAACAAAAAAAAAAAAAACAGAGAGAGAGAAAAAAAATGAGACCAAAAGACCCTGATGTACAGAAACCAATTTTCTATCTCAGAAATAGCCAAAGAATGAAAGCTAAGGAAAGGTATATATACTCTTCAGAAAACAGTGAACTGAAGGTTGGCTGCTCTTACAGAGGAACCAGACTGGATTTCCAGCATCCACAGATCTGGTAGCTCACAGCTGCCTACTCTAACACCAGTTCTGGGAGATCTAGCATGCTTTTCTGATCTCAGATAGCAACTACACACACAATACACATCCATCAAGAAGGCACATACAAGCCGGGCGTTGGTGGCGCACGCCTTTAATCCCAGCACTCGGGAGGCAGAGGCAGGTGGATCTCTGTGAGTTCGAGACCAGTCTGGTCTACAAGAGCTAGTTCCAGGACAGCCTCCAAAGCAACAGAGAAAGCCTGTCTCGAAAAACAAAAACAACAACAACAAAAAAAGAAGGCACATACATATTTAACACACGTGTTTGAGATGGTACTCTTATACCACCAAGGGAATCAAAGCAACCAGGCTTCCCAGAATCAGCCTGGAACACATGAGAAGCACTACAACTATCCCCTGACTCAGTCACCCCGCTCCTGCAAACCTAGTTAATGAAATAACCTGATCCATAAACAAAGACTATTTGGCAATAGCCATTAAGAAGAAAACTTGAACTGGGTGGTACGTAGCTCCCAGCACTCAGGAGGCAGAGGCAGGCAGATCTCTTGAGTTTGAGGCCAGCCTAATCTACAAGATAACCAGAGCTACTTCCCTTTCCGCCGACCGACCCAGGAACTAGAGCCCTCATCCAGTGGCTGATGGAAGCAAAGACAGACATCCACAGATATACACTGAGCTGAAATCTGGAAATTAGTTGAAGAGAGGGAGGAATGAAGAACGAAGGGGTCTGTACCAGGTTGGAGAAACCCACAGGAACAGTTGGCCTGAACAAGGGAGAGCACATCGACCCCAGATGCTGTCAGGGAGGCCAGTACAAGACTGATCCAGACCCCTGAACATGGATGTCAATAAGGAGGCCTCTGCACTCCAGGGAGCCTCTGGTAGTGGATTAGTATTTTTCCCTGGTGCAAGAAAGAACTTTGAGAAGAGGCTGGGAGTGGGGGAGGAGGGATGGGGGTGAGGGGAGGGAGAGGGAGAAGGGACTTACATGTGAAACAAGCTTGTTCCCTAACTAAAACTAATAAATAAATTTAAAAAAAAAGATAACCAGAGCTACACAAGAAAAACCCATATCAAAGGAAAAAAAAAAAAGGAAAAAAATTGAAAAGATTTAAAATGCCCAGAAATAAGATCATAAAAAGAAAATCAAAGCTGGAGAGGTGGCTCAGGTGTCCAGAGCAGTTTCTGCTCTAAAAGAACATTCGTTCAGTTCCCAGCACCCACACTGGGTGGCTTACAACCACATGTATATCCATCTTCAAAGGGTGTGGCATCCTCTTCTGTCCTCCATGCACACTTGCACACATGTCAATTACAGGGCAAAGAACTTGGCTCCCAAAAGCTACAGATCACCCAGCATTGCTCTGCTACTGCAATACGGAGCTGAGATGCAAACCCAGTTCCAACTTCAAAATTCCCCTTTATTCCTTACCCAAAAGAAGATGGGTGGAACTTCCAGTCCATCACATAAGAGCTTGAGCTGACCCACCACCCTGGTCACTTACTGCACTCCAACTACTAAGAAAATCCAGGGAGATATCTGCACACTCGTGCAAAAAGAAATCATAAAGACATCTTTAAAAAGAGGGAGGATAGTGGAGTATGGAGCAGGGATATGCTTGAAGTGTGCTATGTACTTGTGCTATGCACAAGACAGAAAGGAGCAGGGGAGAGTAGGGGATACAGAATTTCTCCCAACTAAGGCTCTATTTTCTACACAGTACTTGTTCAGTCAACTCAAACAAGGTTAAGGGCCAGTTGACTCATATAAGGGAAAGGGTCAGTCAACCCATATAAGGGAAAGGACTAGTCAACTCGTATAAGGGTAAGAGCCAGTCAACTCATTTAAGGGAAAGGGCCAGCAAGATGGCTCAGAAGGCAAAGGTACTTGCCACCAAGCCTAACAATCTGAATTTGATTCCTGGGACCCATGTAATAGAAGGAACCAACCACCCCAAGTTGACCTCTTGAAAACTAAGCACATGCCATGTCACATATGTATATACACACACAAAGAGAAATAAACAAATAAATACAATAACTTACTTCTTGCGTGATTGGTGGCCTGAACTGTTTGTGCAGTTCAATAATTATTCTTAGACAAATAAGAACATTTTCTTCATTTTCAGTCTTTAAACAACAACAACAAAAAAATCAAGTTATATTTCTGAAGACATTGCAATCTCAAGTTAAGACAAATTGTTGGCAGGCATGGTGATAAACACCTTTAATACCAGCACTTGGAAGACAGAGGCAGGCAGAGCACTTTAAGTTTAGGGCTAGCCTGATCTCAAAGAGTGAGTGCCAAAAAACAAAAACGGTCTAGGCATTTGTAAATCAGACACAGCGGTCCTAGACAGAAAGAGCCATGGTCTTTGTGGACCATCTGAACAACATCCCACCAACATGTTAGAGTAACACTGAGACAGGTGACCTGGTGAATATGACACAGAGGAAAGTCATGCAATAAATTACTGCCTCTTCCATCCTTTTGATATAGGGTCTCATGTATCCTAGGCCTGGCATGACTCACTACATGTCTAAGGATGACCTTGATCACCTGAATGCTGGGATAACAGTTGTGCTTCACCTAGCCTGGTTTATGTAGTACTAAGGATGGAACACCAGGGTTTCATGCATGCTAGGCAAGTACGCCACCAGCTCAACTATATCCCCAGTCCTGAATTAACATTGTTTTGTTTGAAACAGGGTCTTACTGTGTAGCCCTGTCTGGCTTGGAACTCATTATGTAGACCAGGCTAGCCTCAAGCTCCCTGGGAGTAGTCTGCCTCTCTCTCCCCCAAGTGTTGGTATTAGAGGGGTGCACCACCACAAGCCTGAATTGATGCTTTAATGGCTAAATGACATCCTGCCTAAAACAAAAAACAAAAAGTGGCTCACTGCTTAGAAATACAGGTTGCACATTCCTGATGCAAAAGCCCAAAACCTGAACTACTCTGAAAATTTTTTGAGCATTTGACAAGATAACACAACTAGGAAAATCTATGCTTGACTTCATGTAATGGGTTTAAGTCAAAACAAACACAGATGCTACAAAAAATATTTCATAAAATTGTCTTCAAGCTATCTGCAGAAGGGGCCAATGATATGTGCCAATGATATTTTAACAAACTTCACATTCAGGTTCTGACTGTATGCCTAAAATGCCCTGTACATTTTAGGTACATGCAAATGTTCTAAAACTCAGAAAGAAAATAAGAATTCCCAACATTTCCATTTCCAAGTATCTGGGGTAAGGTGTGCTCAACCCATGCTGCCAAAAGCACCCACTATGGACTGTCCCAGGTACTAAATGCAAGCCAATGAGGGAGGGACCAGCCACTTTCTACCCTCCAGGTCAGGGAGCCTCAGAGATATTATGCAGTGTGGCCAGTGTGGTCAGCTACGAATGGCAGAGCTGAGATAAGAACCCAAGACTGTCTCCTAAGAAAGCTTATCTTCTCAAAGGCCTGAGGCACAATGGGATTCTAAACACGTCAAGACAGGAGAAAGCAAAAAGATTAACAAACACAACCACCCAGGAATCTAAGGTCTTTCTGAACATGGTGGTGCATGCCTTTAATCCCAACCACCTGGAGACAGAGGCAGGCCAACCTGGTCTACTTGGCAAGTTCCAGGCAGGCCAGTGTTACATAGTAAGACCTTGTCTCAATAAGAAAAAAGGGTAGGTGTGTTGGCATATACTTTCAATCCTAGCACTCAGGAGGCAGAGGCTGGTAAAATTTCTGAGTTCAAGGCCAGCCTGGTCTATATAAGGAGTTCCAGGTCTACCTGGGCCACATTGTGAGACCTTGTCTAAAAAAAAAAGGAAAGAAACAGCTGGGCGTTGGTGGCGCACGCCTTTAATCCCAGCACTCAGGAGGTAGAGGCAGGCAGATCTCTGTGAGTTTAAGGCCAGCCTGGTCTCCAGAGCGAGTGCCAGAGTAGGCTCCAAAGCTACACAGAGAAAACCATGTCTCAAAAAAAAAAAAAAAAAGGAAAGAAACAAAACAAACAAAAGTCTTCAATTAAGTAGTCTGTCTTTTTTAATTAGACAAAGCAGGAAAAAAAGAGACATTAAGAAAAATGTCACTCATTTAATCAGATCTTTAGTGAGGCATAGACGACTACTACTGCATTTATCGTAAAAAAAAAAAAAAATCATGAAATGTTTTAAACATGGCAATGGAAATGCATTTTCTCAGAGATTACCTCTAAAAATCGAAACATCACGGACAGAACATTTTTCGTATGAGGACGAAGATGCTCATTGGTCGGTATCCTGTGAAGTATTTCAAGTACTAACTTCCGAAGTTGCTGACAAGAAAACACAAATGTAAAACACACGGAAAGTTCCAAGCTCACTGTTTAACCTTACATATACATCTCATGACTGGCTATAGCCAGAAGCAGCAACCATCATCTAAGAGGGATCTGGCCTTAGGAAGAGACCTGCAAATTATTCACATGTAACCCACAGTATGTGTACAAATCATCTCCAGTGGCTACAGAACCACATTACATAACAAATAAACTCCACTGTGCTTTTTACACCCTCACCAGTACTCCCAGCACAAGACACACTGTGAGAATAGAGTAGAATGAAACCCAAGAGCAAACACATTCTCTTAAGAGGAAAGAGAAGGGGCCGGAGAGATGACTCAATGGTTAAGAGCACTTCCTACTCTTGCTGAGGACAGGAGTTTAGTTCTAGCACCTGTCGGGTGACTCACAACCACCTGTAACTCCAGTTCCAAAGGACCCAAAGCACACTTCTGACTTCTAAGGAACCCTGAATTCATGGTGCTCATGCACACAGACACAATAACGAAACACATCTTTTGTGCTAGAGATTGTTTAATGGTTAAGAACACTAGCTGCTCTTCCAGAGAACCTGGGTTCTATTCCCAGGACACACACAGTGGCTCACAACCATCTGTAACTCCAGTTCTAGGGAATGCAGTACCATCTTCTGGCCTCCACAGGCACCAGGCATGCTTGTGATGTATAAATATATATGCAGGCAAAACACCCATAAACTTTTTTTTCAGTCTTAATTGGAAAACAAACAAACAAACAAAAACCTTGAAAGAGAAAGGAGAATGCAGAGAACAGTAACAAATTTGAGGGTTCCCTGTATAGTCAACTCCATTTTTATTTCCCTACTACTATGAACAGATTACCTGGGCTGGCTTCTCCTGAAGAAACTGGACTTCTCCATCTTGAAGAAATGTAAGAAATCGAGGGATGATATGTTCCAGGAATGTAGAATACTGAGGAGATGATGTGACATTCTAGGTGGCAATTAAAAATAAAAGACATAGAAAGTTATGTGCTTATTTTCATTTTAAATTCATGTAACAATCCCAAAAGAAAACAAAGTATATGTATTTCTTTTTAAATTTATGCTTGCACCCACATGAGTTTTTATGTGCACCACATGCATTCAAGTTTCCAAGGAGGCCCCAAGAAGTCAATAAATCCCTTGGAACTAGAGTTACAAGCCACTGTGAGCTGGAACCAAACCCAGGTCCTCTGCAAGAGCTGTAAATACTATTAACCACTGTAACATGGAAGCACTTCCAGACCTGACAGTAATTTCCAATGCTTTCAGATGCTTCTGAGATAACTTCATGTTAAAATAAAAGAAGATCTGAATTGTAACAAAGAAAATTAAGTACCAAAATTTAGTGTTAAAATTGGATATGGTAGGGGTAGCAGAGATGGCTCCCAAGTTTCCTTCTGCCTTTCTCTTTCTATGGGACCTGAGTTTGGTTCCCAGCACCCACGGCAGGTAGATCACAACTGCCTATAACTCCAGCTTGAAGTTGCATCCTCCTCTGGATTCCACAGGGATCCACATACATGTGCTACACACACACACACACACACACACACACACACACACACACACACACACACGACATGCCAAGTTAGATACACAACTCAACCCTCAACCGTCAAGCATTTGCCTAGTAGGCCTGAGGTTCTGGGTTCAATTCCCAGCACCACACCCACAGTTGCTTGCATTCTTCCCATAGTCACCACAGCACAATTCATAAGAGCCAAGAAATTGGAGCAATGGAAGTGTCCATCAAATAATGACTGGTTCAAGAAAATATCTGTAACCTAGCACAAGAATAGGCAGGAGACCAGGAGTTATAGGCTATTATTTGCTACAAGGCCAGACACTGTCTTGGGGATGGGGGGGGTATCATTTTGGTCTTCACTCAAAGAAACACCCACACACATGAAATAAATTATCTTTTTAAAACAGTAATATATTAGCCATGAATGGTAGTAAAACCCTTTAATCCCAGGACTGGAGAAGCACAGGCAAGTATATCTCTAACTTTCAGGCCAGCCCCCTCTATATACTGAGTTATACACCAGCCAGAGCTGCAGAATAAGAGACTGTCAAAAAAGACAAAACTTTTAAAGCAGCCATTATAAAGCCAATACATACCACATAACAATGGGCCACACATGACAGTGGTCCTGTAAAATCCTAAAGGAGCCCCCCCAAAAGTCCTATCTATCACCTGGTGGTGTCATAGGCATCAAGGGCAAGCATGTGTCTTTGTGGCGGTGGGATGTCAGCAAGTCCGTGATGCCTCTCAGAGAAAAGTACAGTACATGCAATTATGTGCAATGCTTAAAGCCCAAGAGCAAACAACTGCACTGTGGTTTCTGTATTAACTCCATTATGCTTTCTTAGCTGCTTCTTTTCTTTTTAAAGACATGCTAGATATGAGATTCATTACTACACATGACTTGATGGGGTGTGGACAGTGGAAGCCCTCAGAAATGCAGGCCCTGCCATTTGTCCAGGCAACAACTGTGGATCTATCTGAGCCAACAGCTCTGGGACAAGTCACTGTATCTTCAAGTTCACCTGCATTAAGCATTGTGAAGCCCCACTTCTTTGAGGTATGGGCCTTCTGTTGGTCAGAAAACTAAAGCTTGACTCTACACAAGGCCTCATTCACATGTTTCTTATTTTTCAGTTTGGGGCAGATGAACATAATAACCTGAGCAGCATGAACTATAGCCACTGTGCCCTGGGGCTTCCCCAAGGCACTATGCATGTCTTCCTGGAGCCAAGGCTGGGGACACCACTTAAACCGGAGACATGAGTATCTGCAAGAAAACTGCCTTGAAAGTCCCTCAGGACAACCCATATAAGTAGCAAGTGGCCTACACTCCCAAGGAGGTGGCTGTTTGCAACCCCTGCAACTCCATGTCCCCACCAGGAAAGGAACTGGGTCTGCTCAATTGTCTACAGACTTTTTCGGTTTTTTTGAGACAGAGTTTCATGGATGTTGCCCTACTGGGATAAATAGGCAAACGTCACCAAATTTGTCATCATTTGAATGTATGTGTGTTTAAATGTCACTGTCAGACAGTTTGCTGGGTTACACACACTGGCGGCAGCCACATATATTTTATTTACTACATTTTGATCATATTAAGAGGCAGTCTGGTGAGACAGCTCAGCAGGCAAAGGTACTAGCCACTGAACAGCACCTTCCAGGGAACCACACAGTAAGAGAGAACCAACTCCTTGAGGCTGTCCTCTAGCCTCTACACATGTGCCATGGCATCAATGTCTATGCATACACTTGCACGTGCACACACAGGTACAACAGTAATTTTTTTTAACAGGCTATGTTGACTACAGTAATTTTTTTAACAGGCTATGTTGACTAACTGACCTATCCCATCTATGTCTATAAGTATATTCAATGATGCTCAAATAACAAAACTGCCAAATGACACAATTCTCAGAATGTATCCCAGTCATCAAATT